AAAACCTGCCCCTCGCATATATTTCTATGTTTCGCATGTATCCTGCTAAGCTCAAAATCTCACTTTTCCAACAATTTCTCTCCATTTTAAAGTGAACCTGCTGCTCCACTGTGGCTTGTTCTTTCTTCTTCTTCTTCTTCTCAAGGTAAGGGCAAGACGGAGAGGCAAAGTACGTTGTAAAGAGAGGTCGATGTTACATTATGTTGGGCGAAAGTGGATCCTACATCCATAGAAGAATATAAAGAAAGTTTGGAGAAAGCGCAGGCGAACCTGTAAATAAAACAGTATCGTAATTTCGCCCAGATTTAGTTTAGACTGGACTTGTACACACGTCTTGATAATATGAACTGAGAGGTGAAAGTATATATATGAACTGACTGAACACATGACAATTAAATTCAGTTGCTTGCCTTCCTTTCCGCTTTCCTTGCCTGGGATTTCCAGCTACTCGTTCTTGTTAGCTTTTCGCTCCAGATGTCGACTTACGATTAGATTCGGAACATTTCCTTCTCTTTCTGAAAATTGGGCTTGTCGACGACGTGAAAAAATGGGTGGGTAGTTACACTCAGGTGGAAATTTGTATAGAAATAAAGCAGCGACAGATTGGAGAACAAGTAACGTTTTTATTTTGGGGAGAGAAGAAAAGCGTCACCGCTTTAGTCAGAAAGTGACCTTTGCGTTGATCCGAACCCTTTTTTGTGAAGAATTTTTGAGAAATTAATGAATATCTTTAAGAAGGTAATTTTCATCGTATAATGGACACGAAATTTAGTGGACATTTACCCTCCGGGGGTGAATGATCTCGTCCATTCGTTCCGCAGTGTATTGCTCATAAAAGCTGTTGAACAAAGACCATTTAACCAAGCATGTAATCCTCGCGACATAATTGAACGACAGAACAAAAGTTGGTTAATAATAGGACTAAAGTTTCGTGTGAAATGGGGAGATACACTTCACAAAGGAAGAGTTGGACACTGCTGCTCGTACTCGTCCAAGTCGTTGGAGTGGTGACGTTGCCCCTGTGGCTGTGGACTTGGACGGTAAGTGCCCTCAGTCAGGCAGACTTTGTAGTCGTGCTTGGAGCAGAAGTGACATCAAGTGTCGTTCCACTTTCACCTTTTCCTCCTAATGAGACACGGGAAATGGGGAAGAAAAGTTTAAACGGAGAGGGTGACAAGTCCCCGGAGGGAGAGGAGGTCGTATCATCATCTTTGTCAGGAGTGACCACCGAGGAGAATATAATATTTCTTCCTACCGCGATGAAGCTAGCGTCCCCGCCAGAGTGTCATCCTGTGTAAATTAATTTCTTTATTTTTTTTAAAGTTTGAAAGGTTCATAATAAAAATAATAAGGAATAAAACAAAAAATTGATTTCGAAAGGTACGCTTTCGACACTGTGGGCCCTTATCGACAGGTGAGATAATTACATGAGTGAATAAGTTCATGCATTTTATGAGGATGAAAAATTACAGCTTGGATGAGTATCTGAGGGGGGGTGGTTGTGTACTATCAACTCCCGGATCTCGATGCCCTTTGGATATGTTGTAGTGTCCCATGAATGAACAAAAACCCTGAAGGGGTTTTATGCCATGGCCACATTTGCGCCCGCCACACCCACTCAAAGGTGCCCAAAAATCACTTTCACTTCAGCTTTCACTCACTCAAATCCAAGCCAAAAATCCCATTATACTCGGATTTTGAAATTTCTTTCACCATTATACTCCCAGATAGTTGCTTTCTTATATCCAACACCAAACTCAACTTTTTGAATTTCTTAGTATTTTTAAAATTTAAAATTCTGAATGAGCATTGTTGTAGTAATCAACAAAATAAATTATAATATGTAAATTGTGCAGTGAGGATAATAGGAAAAGTGAAAGGATAAGGGCTCACTTGTAGTACTGGAGGGGTCCGGATTAGGCCTTTATGTCAACGTTTCGACCTCAAAGGGTCTTCTTCAGGACGACGAGGAGGATTGCTTCACATGGTGATTTGTGGGTGAGTACTACAAGTGAGCCCTTATCCATTCACTTTTCCTAACAAAATAAATTATGCCTGTGAAATAATCGTCGAACAAGTTTAGTTTGATGTTAGATATAAGAAAGCAACTATCTGGGAAAGAAATCGTGAAATTGGATTTTTGGCGTGGATTTGAGTGAGTGAAAGCTGAAGTGAAAGTGATTTTTGGGCACCTTTGAGTGGGTGTGGCGGGCGCAAATGTGGCCATGGCATAAAACCCCTTCAGGGTTGTTGTACATTCATGGGACACTACAACATATCCAAAGGGCATCGAGATCCGAGAGTTGATAGTACACAACCTCCCCTCCTGAGTGGACATTGTTTTTTATTGTATTTCCTTAAAAATGAATATGAAATCTAACATTTAACAATCAATGGAGGTCTCAGATTTTGATTAAACTAGTGTCAATGGATTACAAATCATGTCATTTGCAAAAGATACATTATGTGCCACGGCTCAGGTTTGGCTGAGATATTTGCATCCAAAGAGGAGAAAGTTGACGCTTTCTAGATTTACGGCGCGTTTTCTCTTATTTAGATCAAATATCGCTGCCAAACCTGAGCATTGACAGATAGCGTGTTCTAAAAATTTCATGTTAATTAAATTTGTCATCGATGGACACTAATTTGCTAAAAATCGGAAAACATACGCTGAGAGACATTTTAAGCATCACTTAATTTGGTGCTTTATCATATTGTTGCATGTATTTGTTGTAATAAGTGTGAACTATAAAATTTTCTGTTTTGTTATCAGAGTTAAATATGCTACAACGGTTAACTATTTTCATTATCAAGTATTCTTACAAATATCCTTCATTGCTTCACAGAAATTCAACCTTATTTACACAAGCCTAAACTCTCCAGAGTGAAAGATCCAACCAACCAAACGTGTCCAATTAAAGTAAAGCTTTCTCCAACTTTCTCCATTTCCGGTCAATTCTTCAAACTCAAATAGAAAGCATGTCGGCGTCAATAAAATCCAGTAAAACAAAACAAACTGCTAACTCAACTTGTATACAAGCTCATTCTCTTTTCTACCAACTAACTTATTCCATCCGGTCGTGTAATTCCTTCCAAATAAATAAAGCACTAAATAAGTCTCAGTTTTCTCCCTTTCTTACAATTCAGTACTTTCTCTTCGTTACAATTCAGCCAGAAAACAAAATAATTGCCAATTTCTTAACAATCCAGGCAAATACAAAATGCTAAGAATCACGCTTTCGAACTTGACCGGAAACTGACAATTTACACTTGGTTGTTACTTTCTCTCACACTTTTCTCACCGCTTATTAGGCGACTTTAGCAGTTAGTGTTTACTATTTTCGTCACTCAAATTCCCCCCTGAATTCAGTTTGTTGTTTTATTTTCGCGAAAAAGTGAAGAAATTCCAAAAAGTCCTCAAGGAATTTGGTCACTTCATTAGTCGTACTTTCTCTCGCAATTAAACACCACCTCCGATGGTCATCCTGTGCACGTATCTGCACCAAACCAACCAACATAACACCAACCAACCGAATTTTATTAACCACATCCATCCACCACGAACCCAGAGAGAAGAAGAAGATTCTTCTCCGTTGGGGAGATTAATGTCTTGTCACGTCCAACTCGATCTAGTTGAGTGCAAGCCGTGAGCAAGAATTTAGACGGACGGAAGTGAGTGAAAGTGAACGACGTGCCTGCAACGCAACCACAAAGTTACAGCTAAACTTGAACCCGACGTTGTTTGTTAAGCATTTAAATTATCTGAGAGAATCTCAAGTTTCAAATGTTCATCAATCTTTTGAACGTAATTATTTTACAATTATTATCATTCTTGTTTTATGATTGAGTTGGGATTTGTCGTAATTCTGGGAGAGAATTCAATTCAACTCAATTCTATGTACTTTTAAGATGGCGAATAAAATGGAATTTCTCAATTTTGCCGTTGCATAAATACATAATTCTATCAATGGAATAATTGTGAACCCACCAGTCAAATTCTGCCTGTTTGTGGAGAAAGTGGGTCTTAATTCTGTAAATATATATGGCGTGAGTCAAGTTATTTGGTTCGAGGTTGGATTATTATGGGAGATCTATCGAGTGAGTTGGAAGTGAAACGCTCCAGATTTTCTCGTCTCTTTGAATTATTCGTGTTTGGTCTAATTTAGACACGAAATCAATTGAATGAGATGGAATTGAAGGCATGCTTTGATCCCATTTATCCATATGTCGTGCCAAGTCTGGTGTCTGCAGAGAGGAGGGAATTTAATTCAAAGCATGCACCCTAATATCGGGTGAAAGTCAAAGGAAGGAAGGGAAAGGGAGAGAAAGTGGAGTGGGATCAATTCCTTTGGCTGCTGCCCTGCTTTCTCTTCTCGAAAATGATATGGAATATCATGGGAATTTTCATATTTTCTAGGTCCCTGGAAATTTGTGCAGGTCTAAATGCATATTTAAAAGGAGAAGCATTTAAAATATTCCCAAAACATAATACAAATTCTTGGAGCGGTTGTTAACTTGTATTATACATGGGTAAAAATGCGGTATTCACTCGTTTTGGCATAGATTTGCGAGTACCTTTCCGGATTGGTAATAGTTTGTTTCTGAGTGGTGATATTTTCATTATCAAAACGGTATACTTCATTACTATACAGTAATTCCCTTTATTATCGTGCCGGTGAAGTTATATATGCACTCCAGTCGGTAATGATTCAATACCATCTTGCTAGAAGTGTAGCTCTATTCCTTATAAACTCACCTTGAACCTTGCTGCCACCAGTACAATTCTATTTTTGTAAAAATCACGAGAAGATTCTGAAAGGTGAGATGTGGGCGACACCGGAAGTAGGAAATGATGAACCGGATGTCACCTTGGATCCTTTTCGTTGCCTTCCGTGTCTCGGTTTAATTGGATTTCTCTTTTCTCTCTAACTAACTCGATTTCCCACCAAAAATTAAATAACTACTTTTACTTTTACTTTTGGTTCACGGAAGTTCAAACTTTCTCCAACTTTCATTTTCTTGAATTTCTATGATTTTAGGAGGAGGCGAAATCTCGTCCTAAAGAGAAAATCTATTATTATCGTGAAACTGATACGAATGAAGAGGAAGAATCAATCTTAACGAAGGACGAGTTCGGCCTGGTCTGTTTTACCAAGATGATCAACTGCTCTGTCCCAGCCACGGCGACTGCGGCGTCAAGAAAGACGCCGAATTGTGTGTACTTTTCGAAGGAATTTTGCACCAGGAAATATGGTGGGATGAGTAAGAACTAATTGTGATATTAGTATTTTTTTAAGTTTCTGAGATGAATTTGCATAAATGCGTAATTACAAAGTGTTAAATATACTGTAAAGCTTCCACATGCATAAATTTATGCCTATTTATCAATTATGGAAGTCAATCAATCGCTTTTAGTTGATCTTGAGTTTCTTAACGCCATAAATTGCATAATCTTCTAGGTGCCATCAACGTAAAGTGGTATTTATTGCAAACGGAAACTATGAATTATGAAATTTTTTCATTTACGTGATTTTTTCCACCTTTGAAACTGTTTTTCAGTTCAATTTGTTAACAAAATTTTAATTTTAAGTCGATAAATTTAATTTTAATCAAATGTGGTAGCTTGACTCCAAAAAGAAAATGTTTGCAGTTTTAATATTCCTACTGACATTTTTATAATAGATGTCTGATTGCTCTATGTCCCATTATAGAATTAATTCAAATAACTTGAATGTTTTGGCATATTTTCAAAAAATTTAAAAATTTTCGAAATTTTCAGAGTGGAAAGGTAGCGTGTGTCCGACCACATTGATAAACCAACAAGACTACAAATGCAAGCTGCGAGCGCTTGGTGACGTGGGTGGGGTTGAAGTGGCCGGAACCACAAATGGTAAAAATAAGACGCTCAATTGCCGAAATAGTGAAGCGCTATGCCTCGGATTAAAACCACCGTTTCACACGCGAAGTGGAAGCAGTGACCGAAATCCTCCCACCCAAACGATGTGAGTGGGCCTTATTTTCGTAAATATTTAAATTTGTCATTATTTAACTAATTGTTAATTAACTTTAATAATTATTAATAATTAATTATGTAGGTGTCTGTGCCCACTGGGTTATACGGGTCCAGCCTGCAGTCGGATGGATATTGACCTCTTCCACTTGGATTTACTTCATAACGTTGATCTTCGCAATATTTTGCTCAAATATCAGCAAAAGGTAAGAACTGCATAAACTGTTTTTTATGGTTTTGGATAGTTTAGACGTCATAAATTAAAAACAAAGATTTTTTAAATGTTTAATTTATCACAGATATGATTTCTACTTCGTGGTTGATGAAATTTTACTTCGAAATTACTTAATAATATGAACTTTTATTTAAATATTTACTAAATTTTGATTTCTAATCTTTTTGAACTAAAAATTAATTAAAATTTCAGGATCGTTACTTTATCGGAGTCACCTTATTATTCCTCCTAGTCGTAACGTTAACCTCTGTACTGCTCATCGTGGCCGGATGTTCATTCCTGTGTTCTCGTCTGCCCAATTTCTTGAAAACGATGAAACAACTGACTTCCGATATTCCATACTTTTCTCGTCCTCGAGCATCCCACCGTCAATCTTCGACACCACATCGTAATCATCACACCCAAACTGAGGAACAAGGCGTCGAAATAGAGGACACGATTAAGGGAGGAAGTCATCGAAATCAAAATACACGAGGGGCTTCTTCTATACTGTGTCAAATGTCGAGCAGAATGGTCACGATGTGTCAATCTTGTCTTAATCGACGGGAAGAAGGTGAAGAGGACGAGGATTATTACGACAGCGATTTGGAGTTGAGATTTCATCGGGCCAGGATGGAAAGGAGGCAACGACTTTCTCAGAGGGGTCGGGTTTCGGTGTGATTAATTTTGACACGGGTTTGAAATCTGGTTAAATATGATGTTTTTAGTACTTATTAGTTGTTTAATAACTATTTGTAGCAATAATTACTGTGCACGGCTCAAAATCTGTCGGTCTCATGTTTGTACTAAGAAAAGTGTTCATATTTACTACAGATATATGTCAAGAAATTTGTGCATATGCAAAATTATAAAACTTTAAAATTTCTTCAATGTAAATATTTAGTAGTGAACATAATTTAAACTGATTTTAAATATATCACAAATCCAGTTCATGACAATCTACACGCGAATAAATATGATCCACAAATTAATTCAGAATTTTAAAACTGTAAAATCATTCTCACTTCCAATTCCTGACAGCATTCTCGCTTTCATCACGAAAATCTCAAATATTTCTACATGTCCAAAAGCTCAATATATTTGTATTTGCTACATTCCCCTCATTTGCATATCTTCACTCGAATCTGTCGACATATTTGGCAATTCATCTCCTTTTTTCGGAAATGGATTTATTTTTTCAATTTGCAATTTGCATTTCGACATACCAAACTTGTTTGAAGTTTGAAATGTCTGCATGGATTGAGTTTTCAATCTCGTCCAGATAAAGGGGAGAAGAAGAAATCAGTTTGTACGTGTGTGTATGCAGCAAGGAGGAGAAGAAGCAGGTAGGAGAAAGTACGTCCTGCTCTTATCTGTATTATAAAATCCGGTTGTACAGAAAAAACGAGTAGATTTCCGATTCAGCTTTTTCTTCTTTTTTAGAGCTCTTTTTTCTCTTTGGGAGAAAGAAGGGTTGTGGATTCTCTTCTACTTCTTTGAAAAGAGTGAAGGAAATAAATCCAAAACACAAATAATCAAAATCGGTATAGCTATTTCTATTTCTGAGATGAATTGTTGAATGGTTTGGTATTTGAAATGAGGGAGGAACGTAAAAAATACGAGGATCATCATCTTCTTCTAGTCTTGAGGATGCGGACTCGTTGATGGTCTAGGCACTGATATTGAGGAGAAGAAGGCCAATATACAATTCATACCCTTGCCCTTTCAGGATTTCTGGTGTAAGTTCAACAAGGAATTTAATCTCTGACTTCTTTACAACGAGGAAAAGAAAGTTATTGGAATATGGTTTTTGATGCTTCAGGAAAGAAATTAGTAGGCAAAATGGTTCTGTTTCAGACAATTAATGAAAAGTGGAATCAGGAAAGTTGGAGAAAGTTTGGAAATTATGAAACTTACCTAAAATCATGATTTCGCAAAATAGGTATATGCATTTTTGGAATTAAATTTTATTTTTAACTTTTTGCATTTCCAAAATCTACCGATTTTAATAAAGAAAATCGAACTACAAGTCATCACGAAACCTCTGCCTTAAGTATGTAAATGACAAAACTATTTGGTTAGGGTTCTTTTAACCTGGGAAAATTTCACGAAAATGATAATTTCATCACAAATAATAACCTCACGTAGTAATGAAAAAAGCTGCTGTCTCCTAACCTACAACCCAACACGTAGAAATTGGCACGTGGAAAGACCCAAATGTAATGATCTCTCTCTTTCTCGAAATATCCAACCCAATAAATACTTGATGGGAAAAGGTATTGAATTTTGAATTGAATCAAAATCGACTTAGAAATGGAGAAAGTGTGAGAATGGAAATGTCGGAGGAAATCAAACATACTTTTTTCCTCCTCCTGTTCACTTTCACTTCTGCTTTCACCGTCGTCTCGTCTTCCACACCAACCAGTCAGTAGTAGTCACTTCCCCACTTATCGGTACTTAATACTCAAAGCAGCTCATATTTCCTTCCTCTTTCTCTCTCACTACGTAGACCGAGCAGAGTGGGGAATACTATACGGATGGGAAGAAAAAGATGAAAAATGGACTTTCACTCTACTTTCACTCTCGAAAAACACCAAACTTCACTATACCATCGAAAGAGAAAAAAGAGAAAGTCAAGTCAAGTCAAGCAGGGTTAAGAGACAGACTCAAATGCTGAATCCTCCATCCAATATGATACACGACAGAAAATGATATTACGTAATATGTATGCCATACCCAACCAAACCCTTGCTTTGTTGTTGACTAATAATATTTCATTATTTTCAGCCTTATGGAAAAACAACTTTCCATATTTATAAAAGCGTTGCAACAGCGGATTTGCAAATAAATGTGCTCCTGGGAAATTAACCAGGGTACAAATTCTTCCTACCGTTTTGTCCTTAAGTATGAAACATACGGTTTTCTTCGTAATAATAAAAGGTCAACAAGCAGCAACGACATTCACGAAACAACGGAACTCGTGCGGCATCATAACTTTCTCCTCCTCTTCATACACGATATTGCTATTAGAGAAATCGAAAAGTGCCGTCGTTCCGCCATTCTTGACTTGGCTTTGTATGTACTTGGCTTCTCATCCTTCCTGAAGCAGGCAATAAATAAGAGGAGAAAGTAAACAAGGTTCAAGCTCAAACAAGCAAATATTTGTTTAGTCCTCTTCATCTTACAACACGGATTTTGTTTTGGGTGGAGATTCGCACAATCTCTGAATCTTCACAAATCCGATTCTGATGTGAAAATGGTAGAATATCTGGCATGAAAATTACAAAAATATGATGATCGAAATTAAAATTTGGGAAGAATCATTTCCACTTTTTAAATAATTTGCAATTTGAGGTATTTAAATTGCGAGTAAATTCGGTAATTGGATAAATGAATAGCAGTAAACACAAATTTCCAGTAAATTTCAAGCCGAAATCAGTTGATTTATTTCACACTGATTGTTCCATCATTTCGTTATTATTGACATTTCACTCATTACTTACTCCTCTTTACACACACGATTTATTATTATGTTACCTTTTGTATACAGAGTAGTTGTAGAATAGAATATGTTAGATATTTTATATTAGATGAGGACATACATACATAGATTTACAGATCAAAGTTATTGACTTTTCCACTCCAATCACTGAAACAAAATACGACGACGCAATTTGCACGTCAAACAAATTCCATTGTTTCAAGTGAAACGAAGTAGAGAGAATTGTAAAACGAGGCAACAAACGTATCAAATTTCGTCAAGTACTAAAATAAATACACAGATGACAAAAACATGTCGAAATGCAAGTGAGTGAAAACTAAACTTCATAATGAGATCAAATATTAATTACTGAATTTGTTATTTAGAACATTGTTTGTAAAATCAATGTAGGTGTGACCAAAGTAATCATTGTTAAATTCTTGTAAGCAAGTTGTTTAATACTAATAATCATAATTTGTGAGACACACTACATTCTGTCAGAATCCTAAACTATTTGCTATAGTTGTAGTAAGTAATTTAGTTGCTCATGCATAATAGCTGCCAAGAAGTATTTCGTAATAACAATCATAATAATACAATCACATCATATCTCTCATTTCTCATTTGAGAACAGGAATGTGTGAACAATTGGTACAAAGTTATATTGATAAGGCAATGGCACTCGTACTGTTGTTAGTACAAATTGAACATAAAGTTTACACAAGTTACTAAAAATGAGCTAGTTCCTAATTTCTACTACATACTTGCTAAAATATTCTAATATTCATAGATTAATTAGTCTTCGGAAATCACTTGGTATGTAATTTATGTATAATTGATAAAATGAAGTATTACAAAAAGTAAGACATTTATTTGTTTAAAAAAATCTAACAGCAAAAAAATCTGCGCTGAATAATTCTATAATTGTATCGTTTGATTAATCGTTGTTTTATAATTGAGTCCATTGTTTTGGAATGAGTTGAGTATGATAAAGTTAGAATGTTTTGAAGCATTTTGTTTTAAATATTTGTGTAATTGGTTGGTAAAAGTGGAATGAATGTCAATTTCAAAACGAATGTCGATGTGGTAGTGGTGGAATGCACCGAGGCGAATTGCTCAGTTCTATAGTTTCCTCGTATTGTCGCATTATTTGTAATAGTACATATTAGGTAATTACTGTAAGTTACGTTTAGCAAATATAGCATTGTTATTAACAGCACAATCAGCCTTCAATCCAGTTATCCAGTTATCAAACACATGAAAATTGCCACAATTCTCAAATCTCATCATTCAATACAAAGTCTAACATTCCTAGAGAAGTGAATCTATTCCATTACTTTGCATTCCTTCCTACCACGCTTTACATACAATACTTGCACTCGTTCTACCACTTTCTAACCGAATTCTATATTTTTTATTTAGTCCAAGTTTCATCAAGTCTGAAGTTTCTAACTTCTAGCGATTATTGCTATGTGTTTACGATTACTAACTAACCTAACACTGAAAGGACAAGAATTAGTGACAAACATTAATCAGACATTACATACATACATTGAGGTCTACCTACTAATTGTAAGACTCTACTTATCCTTAATGTATCCTATCTACATACCTCCCTTTGCACCGTGTGACTTTACTATTGAGCTCAAAACTCAATCGACTTTTGTCTTTTGTTATTGCTAGGATTCTGACATTTTTTCGATTCAGATTTTGGCCGAGAAAGTAAAAGTACAAGAATAAGACCACCAAGAATAAAGAGGTAGGCTTGCATATTTCAAACCGGAGAAGATCCGAAGAGCAGGTAGCACACTGAATATGTAATAGTTGCGTTGCGATATTTGATTCAAATTCACTGATCCTTCATTCATCATCCCCAATGCACAATTAATTAATTAGTCTGATAATAAAAGTCACTAAAGTTGAACAGAGATTGAAGAATTTTGTGATTGCAAATTAGAAACTATATCCAAGTCAGACATCTCCAAATTCAAGAGATGAGAGGGAATCGCTGTCTTCATCCTTTTCCCGAAGTCCACCCACAGCCCCTAAAGAGGCCAACTCTCCATCTGACATCATTTTATCAGAAGATGACCGGCGAGCAAATAACTTTGCTCCTCTCGACACGGGAGATGGATGGTGTAGTTTCCTGTTGGGATTGCGTGGTGGGAGAGGGTTAAGATTCCCATACATTGCACTACTGTATCCAACCGGTGTTGAATGAAACATTGGCATGGAAGGAGCAGGTTGAGGAGGTGGAACTAGCACGTTCTTGAGATCTTGAATTCCCTAAAGAAATAATAAAAACTCTTTAAAAACTTGGCATTTTTACCTCTTAAAATTGGCAACATACTTGGTTTATTTGTAGCAAATGTCCGAGCAAGCTCATATCTTGGTGTCGTAAGTGTTGCATGTCTCTACGTAGTTGAGATAGTTGAGCATCCAATTTGTTTCCACTCGTCGGACTGAAAAGAGAAACATTAAAAAAAGTGTATGCATTTTACATTAGTTGGAAATGAATCACTCTGTTATAAATGGTCTTCTTACGACTTGACTACTCTAACAAAAGCACGAGGAGGAGGCTCGCTAAAGCTGTCGGCTGAACTACGACCAAGGCCAGAGTCGATATGCGGACTGTGTGGACTGGAAGATAAACTTCGTGGCGAACTTCGCATCACTTCGGGAGGAGCACCGATGATTCCTCTGTTATTTTGAAAAAAATGCATTTAATATGTATTAAAAACAAGTTTGACAGATTAGAGTCAACTAATTACCTATTTGAGGTAACATTATGCTCTGGTGAAGCCCGGAATGAAGATCCACTCGATGAAGAGCGTCGACTGTGGGGACGTGGCGGCGGGACTGGCCCTCGTTGACTTTGCCCCATTCCAATTGACGACTTGAAATTTTGCGACTGTGAAAAATTCTGTGGAGATCCATGACACGGAGGAACTGATTTATGACTTTGGGACGGAGGATTGCCATATCCGGACAAACTTCGTGGGAGGGGAGGTAGACCCTGGAGGTGCAACAGTGAGGACAGCGAGGTATTCATTGCGATTTATGAATTTAATGATGATGATGAATAAGGAACAATTTGGATTAGTATGTCGGTAGTCTTGTAAGTGAAGGAAGGTTTCGATGATGATGATGCTTCGTTTTTAAATAGTTAGCGATGTGGTATCTGTAATGTGATTTGTGACGTGACGAAATGGTAGTTCAAGGTAGTGTTACATTGAAATTCACTTTAGAAAGTTTTCCGAGCAGAACTCTGCTTTAAGACACTGATTAATTATCATCCATTTATTCAGCAACTTTTTTCAATTTGTTGTAGTAATTTTCGTTGTCTTTCCTTTCCGAGTTATATAATTTAACAAGTCCAGAGGCATTACTCCGATTTCAGGGCCCAATCTTGTCGACACATGGGACAGATTTGATTTTGTTGTTGGGAGGAAAGCCACTTCATGATACAGTGCATATGGAAGCAATGAGAGCAAACTCCCCAGACTATAAAGATAAAAGAAAACAATTTGGTTGATTTTTTATTACTACACCGAACAATAAATCAAATAAAACAACTTTTACTTACCTAATGGACAATCGTCTCCCGGAACTTTGCAATCAGAACAACAACCATCAAAGGGGGCACGACAAATTCCACACTTATCATCATTTGCCAACCACTTCCACACAGCGACGGTATTCCAACCTACAAAATTTAGAGTAATCAATCTCAACTTAAAAATTTGCACAAAATTCACATAGTCAGAGACTCTTTAGCTCTACTCGAGTTACACTTCATACTAATACAAAGGTATTTGTAGGTACAAGAGCGAGTAAAAATATTTATGCAAGATTGTTGCAACCACGCTACCCCATAAATACGTACCTCAAGCCTTTTAGCAATCATAATCAATAATGTTTACCTTATCGCTGCAACTGATCAACTCAACAACAACACAAAGCACTCGACAAATGGATGAAACAATCGAGATTTTAACATATCCATCCACCAAGAGTATGATAACTAAATTACTTCCTTGTTGTTAGACTCCAACCAAGCTAAACTCCCATCATCACTCAAAAAACGCACTCACTTATTGTTATTTTCAGTTATGGAATATGATAACTTTTTTTGTAACAAATCTATCCCACCACAAGACAAGTATGGATTCCTGATAAATATATATACATTACTGATGACATGGACATGGACCAGCCGACACCCTGCAAACCCACCCACTAAACAATCCATCAAGTCAAGTTAAACTATGTTTTTCGCAAAAACTACATAATATAATATGCATGCAGTACTAGTACGCCACAAAAAAGTGGAGTAAGTACACACCACACCACACTGAATCAAGTCAAACAAAGATTAAAGCTGTTTGCACTCATGTATGCATGTAGATACGAAGACAACAAAACACAACACACTTCTCGATTCTTGATTGATTAACTTGATGAGTCACTTTTGTGAGTAAATTGAGCTTAAAAAATGCTACAATATGCAATTCACAACTCGTAAATCCTCTTACTCGCAACAAATAACGCACCGTGTTGCACACACAGCCATTCAATTCAATGAATCTTAAGAAAATCTCGTCTTTTTTGCACCTGAACTTGAACCTGTCCTACTCCTTCTTCTTCTTTTAAAAGCGAGAGGTTTACTTAATGGGTTAATGCAAGTAAATTGCGAGGACATACCACACACACTATTTTTCTACCAGACAATGAAAGACTGCGTCTTTCTTCTTTACATTTTGCATGGCACAAAGGGGAATAATAAAACGTAGAGCGTTGAAATAAAAGTGAGTCAGTCAGTCGTCGGAGAGTTTTACTATTAACAACAACTTGACTTTGACTTTAATTAAAATAAAGTGGCCTAGTCCCACCAGCCCAGCAGCAATAAATAGTGAGGTTGCTGTTTATGGATGGATGTATGCATTTCAAACATGAAACGAAGAGGATACTTTACACAGAGAAGTGAAGATCATAAAAAATAGAGCGATGGTCTAAATTAGATACAAGTTTTCTACAATAAACTTGAACCCTTTGTACTTGGATGGTGAAGGCGAAAATGAAGTGGTTTCAGTTACAATGACAGAAAGATGTGATGTCGTTTTATTACATGCTAAATTACCACGGTTTGATTTTAATGACTTTTTTAGTTGGTTGGTCAGTGATATTTGCAATTTTGCTTTCTATTAAACATGCTTTTTATAGGCGAGTAGAATAATTTGCCTCTTGGGGAAGAACACTTTTTAAAAAATGCTATAAAAGAAATTTAAACTTGTTAAGTAGAGCGAAGCAATAAAATCTAAAGTTAGGAGTTTATGAAGATAGCCAAAAGTGAAGTTGGTCTCATGTTTCGTTTTTTAATGATGATGATTATGAGCATTATTTTGCAATTTGAAATATAAGAATATTTTTAACTTACTCTTAATTTTAACTTTCATTCTAATTTGCAAAGCCAATTGGAAACCGTCGATGATAAATGGCTTTGAAAGGGCACGGGAAGACGATTTTCGAAAAAAAATCTTGCCACTTCCGGTTTACAGATCACTTATCAAATTTGGTCGGTCGCCCACGACCGGGCTGCACCAGTACACGACGGTAACCCCTACAAAGAAAAGTTCTTATTAATTATTATTTTCACAATCAAAAAGAGTTATGCAGTGCATAAATGTATGATCGACTACATAATTATTATATTAACAGAAAATTCAAAAATAAAATTTCGTATATGAAACTGAATATTACAATTTCAAACTCAAAATTTCACACTACCTAAACACGAAACGATAAAAGAATTACACCTTTAATTAAATAACTACCTGATTATCCTGTTTCCTCTCGTTTTTTTAACCGTATCACAAAAATATTACAAAGTTTTTTCAAAGAAAAAGTTAGTCGACCATCTTAATCTTATCTGCTTGTGTGGCTGGTTGGTTTTGTTCCGTTTGCATCACAAGACCAAACCACACGCAAACAAAATATCAACTCAGACTTTCTCTCTGTCCTTGCTTTCCCCGAATATGGTGAAATATTGACTTTTCTCCAGTCCAGCCAGTCCTTCACCAGCAGCAGCCGCACCAAAAACTAAATTCACTTTCTCCTTGCGTCGGTGGTTCTTTAGCAAAGTCGATCGAGAAAGTGTAAACGAGTTGGCTCCACACAAAAATCTCAAGTTGTCCCCGCCCCGCAATTGGAAAATTCAAATGTATTTTATGTTTTTGAAGAATTTTTATTTGTATTTAGTTGATTGATCATGAAATAATATTTAAAATCAAATAGTTTGTAGTGTTAATTAATATTTAGCTTAGTTATTAGTTAATAAGATGAGAATTAGATAAGGTAAAGTGGAGTAGTTTTGACAATACACAATAGTTAAGAAGACAAGAAGAGCTGTAAGTCTGATTATTTATATATTTTCATTTAATTTAATTATAAATTCCAGGAAGGCTAATTGTCTTTTGATTTGATTTAAGATACACGAGGTTGATAAGGTTTTATCGAAATGGAGAACGGGCTCAAACCGTCTTTCGATGAAAAAGAATCAAAGAAGACTGAAAAAGACGTTGCTTCGCTGAACGAATGCAATGAAAATGGATGTAACGCACATAAAATTGGCGAAACAGCTTTTGCCCCTGACGAGGACGTTCCCATGCATGATGTTACCTATAGTCCAGCAAGTCCAGATCCTCCAAATGGTGTAAAAGGGACCAAGAGAGATGTTGTATTGGGCGGAAATCATGCCAAATTGGACGAAGATGTACTTGTGCATAGATCAAATGATCCAGCATGGGAAGCAGAGCGCAATCATTATAAGAAAATTGTGAACACGTTTCGAACCTATGGGTTATAATAAAACACTCGTTCGATTGGTCAATTAATTTTTCGCCAATAATTATTAATTGATTAAATCTATTCAATGCACAGGAACCACATTTATAAGAAACTCGGCGGAACTAGGAATTACTTAAAATCACTCCCTACAGAGCACCAACGCCTCCTCACCAATTACCGGAAACATTTGCACGATATAAAACGCTGCGTGGAAGAAAACCAAAATCTTTGCATTTTAATGACGTTAGAAGAATCACATTTATTTGAAAATCAACACGAAGTCTATCCCACAAAGGTATTTATTCTTATTTTCATTGCAGATTAAATTATATTGCACCGTGACAAATTTCACTTTATCCATACAGAAAATGAAACAAGCTCCACCTGAGCCGACAAACTATGATTATGAAAAAGTACAAGCCATCTTCAAACAAATTGTAAGGGATTGGTCGAATGACGGGCAAGAGGAAAGAGATACTTGTTACAAACCAATCATTGAAGAAGTTGAACGCGAATTTCAGAAGACAAAGTAAGAACATACTACAAAGAATCCCTTAAGATATCACTATCTTACCCCTATCACTTGTTACCACTACCAGGCCCAAAAAAATACATAGCTTTCATAATTTATTTTGACAATTGAGCTACAATTCTCGCTTTTGTCTATAAGGATGCTAAAAAAAACCTGAACTGTAGCTTGATCAACGTTTGGAGATACGGCTACAATCTCAAAATTCCATGAAATTAGGGTTTTCATGAAATTTGTCGCCCGACGACAAAGACGTAGATTTCTAACTAAAATCGTTATGAATTTGATGAACAGGAATGAGGATGGGATCAGCCCTATAAAGATTTTAGTCCCAGGTGCCGGATTAGGGAGACTCGCACATGAACTGGTTTGCAGAGGATATGTTGTCGAAGGAAACGAGTTCAGTTTGTTCATGTTGTTTGCGTCGAATTTCCTGCTAAATAAGTAAACCTTGAACTAACTGTATCAGTTAATAGCCAATAGTGTGTCGTTAAATTTAATTATGCTGGTTTAATTTTTCAGATGTTTCGAAGAAGAGCAATACAAATGCTTCCCGTGGGTTCATCAAACTACAAACGTCCTTAATCGAGACGACCAAATCCGCGCTGTCTTATTTCCCGACATTCGCCCTTGTGACCTTCCTCCAGACTCCAAGTTCTCAATGACTGGTGGCGATTTTCTTGAAGTATATGGCACCATGTCACAAAAAGAGAACTGGGACTGCCTCGCAACCTGTTTTTTCATTGACTGTGCCAACAATATCGTCGCATATCTGGAGAGGATATACTACTGCTTAAAATTAGGTGGAATTTGGGTAAATATGGGTCCACTTTTATACCATTATGCCGACCTGTCAGAGGAAAAGTCGATTGAACCATCGTACGATATTTTGAGGGAAATAATACAGAGCATGGGATTCATCATTGAGGTATTAATTTATTAATTCATTATTGAAGTTCAAGAAGACTGAACTAAATTAGTTTTCCAGATGATTCATGTAGCTGTGCATTAATAATTTCTCCACTTTTACAGAAAGAGGAGACGAATCGACCCACACTGTATGCTGACAATAGCAAATCCATGCTCTCATACACTTACAACAGCGTGTTTCTTGTCTGCAGAAAGGGCCTCCCTCCAGCTCGAGTGCCTAGTAGTCCTTGCAAGTCTGTGACCTCAAGTCCCACGAAATCTAAGCCAACCACCACCACCGAAGATAATAAGAGTTGATGTCGTCAACATCATCATATTATCAACCTAAAAACTAGTGTTATATTTTGACATCTCATCATCCTAATCATGATAATTGCGTAGCTTATGACGAAAGTATTTTAATAATTTTAATTTCAATTTCCTGCTAAATTTAATATGACTTGACTTCCTTTTAACTTTTTAACATTATTGACAACTATGCAAAGTCATATCGTGATTACTGTGCATGATGGTGCACCATTTTTGATGTTAAGTTCTATGTATGTATGTAAGTTGCCAATTCCAGTATTCACTCCCTTGTTAAAGTCCAATAGTCAAATTATACAAAAAGTTGCATGATATTTACTACTCTGCATTGAAAATGTAATGTACTAAATTCTATAAAAAATTGGAGCGAATAATAATAATAATAAATAAAGAAATTATCAACTACAGCATCAGTTTTTGCATGACTGCCGTTTTTATTGTCAACCTCACGCTACACGACTCACTCGTCGTATTGATGTTTTTCATGCCAATTTGCTGGTGTCAACCCTACAGCTAATTTAGTTAGATACATAAATTGCAGGACAAATATTTTCCAAGCAAGTAGAGCAGAACGACTACGACACATATGTAGAAGTATACATCTCACAAAAAATGGTGAGAATTGGCCCCGAGTTTTGCAAACTTTTGATTTTAATAGGGTTATTCAATCTCCTCCAAATTTGCACTGGGAGCAAAAATGTTTCGGAAATGGCATCCACAAGTAGATTTTCTCTGATAAAAACTAATTCAAACTTGACAATGACAACTACAAGTCAACCACCATTTCCACTACCGATTCGGTTAAATGGAACCTCGAATAATGGGACCCGGAGAAAGTTCGATCCACCTGAATCAACCCCAATCCCCACAGTGAATGAGGAATGGGGGGGAAACTGTACCGACAAAGGTGAATACTTTGTTACGTAATTGGGGATACAATTGCTGTACTTTGTATATTAAAGACTGGACAAAGTGCTCCCACCTAAAAACCTACTTCTCCTACTTTGTGGACAAGAACGACCCAGACAAGAAGGTGCAACATCACGAAATCGACTGCAAAATTCAGCCCATCATCTGCCTCAAGAATGGCTGGGTAGTGACAAGGTGTCAAATTTTGTGTATGGGCCGGTGCAACAAAGGTGCATAGAAGGTTTTCTTTGAATTTTTGAAAAATCGATTTTGATTAATGATATACTTTCTTTTTGCAGACCTCTTGTCAAAGTATGACGACTATGTAGAAAAAGAGGGACAGTGTTAATTCCGTTCTACTTAAAATAGATTTTTTGAAATTTTTACATTCTAAAAATTTTCAAATTTAAAATTTGACATGATTTCATAATAATTTTTTCCATAAGAATTCTCCCAAATTCTCACCTTGCCTCGTTCAAATTCATCTTTTTTTTACTTCAATCCACCTCCAATTTAATAATGCCTTTATCATTTAACGAAATAAAAGATGCTTTGCTTTCTCTTCAGCCTACTCGACTTTTCCTCGACTTTGATAATACTTACATGAAGGTACGAACCTTCATGCTCTCCTTTACTGAATCATTACTGACTGCATTGGAGGAGAAGCAATGAGAATTAAGAGCTTTGAAGTATCAGTTCACCGTTTATTTCACCGTTACTTAATAATACCGGGATTTGGAGGAAGGGAGAAAAGGGAACGAGAAATAAATGGAACGACGACGGAGAGAGAGAGGAAAATAACTATTAAGACTTTCATAAGTCGGAGATTAATGAAGTAGTTCGTCCATCCCGTACCACTTCTTGATTGCCCCATCAACCGAAATCAAGTCAAAGTCATGAATCTTCTTATATTCCCTTTTAAGCTATACATTTCATGGATGAATGTTTCTCCTTCTTTCTTCTCGACTAATCCCCCCTTCAAAATGAACGAACGAACGAAAGAATCCTGACCCTTTTAATTCGGATGGAATAAGTAGAACCCAAATTGCAAAATCGCTGTAATACGACATGAAAGCGTTCCAATTTATTATTTCCATCCACCCTCCAATTAAAAGATGATTGTACATACGTACCAGGAATGTAATGGCATTTATAAACTTCAAAAGTTAATACATAATTAAGCCGTGTTACTTAATTAATAATGCTATGATTTATTACCTTAATGACACAGAGATACACGCATTTATTCCTTTATATTTATTACGCAATAATAATTCCACTTTTATTTCATTATATTGCGGAATGCCATCCATTTTAGTTGTTAATCCTTCTTAATTAAGCGATTCTTCAAGCCTGCTCTGCTGGTGAATGAGATAATAGTTCTCAAGGCGGATCACTTTTGCTTCATTGCATTATTTTCTTCCCCTTTCACTTCTCGCAGAATTCCTAAAGTATCCGTATCACTTACTTGTTAGATACGGTAAGCTCCTTGGTTAATCCTGTTTATTAATACTCGTCCAAAAGCTATAGTGCAATCTTCTTACCATGTTTTTTTCTGGGGGGACAACAGGGGCGAAACGCGAACCCAATTGAATCCTGGGTAGTAAAAAAAAGAGACAAACTTTTCTTGCAATGTTCTTATTTTTTTGTTGTACTAACATTTCCGAGATTCTTGAACAACATGAAGGTGAATAGATCAAGAAGGTTCCAACAACTTTGTTACAACTTGGTACAAGTGGGCAAATAAAAAAAGAAGCAAATTTCACGAAATCAAAGAACCATTTTCTGTGATGACGTTGGCCTCAGCGCCTAGCACCTCAGGCCACAGCACCTAGCGCCTACTTAGTTGGCCACAGCGCCTAGCCCCTAAATAAGTGGGCCACAGCGCCTAACGCCTAAATAAGTGGGCCGTAGCGCCTAGCGCCTACCAAGTAGGCCACAGCGCCTACACTCAGCGCCTATGGGGTAAACTGAGATAGTCAGAGAAACATTGGTATAAAACAAGGGAAAGGATCCCTCTCCGATGGGGGAATGTGATACACCAAAATGTTGGGGTTTTCATGCTGATCACGAAAATATAAATGTTTTGACCGGCAAATGTAAGGTCACAATAAGTCAAGATTTTTTATGCATTTTTGGAAGTTTCAAGTTGTCTCACTTTCCCCCTCGGCGGGAAATTTTTTGGGGTGACATGAGATCCTTAAGGCAAGATAACACTTATAGTTTTTGTCGTAGAATATTGAACGCAAATTATTTTGCCGCAAAGAGGCAAATTATTTTGCCGCAAAGAGGCAAATTTATTGGACATTGCTAGAATATTGGGGAAAAGTGTCAACTATTATCGTAATTATGCCCCATATTGGGGAATTGTTCGTAGTTAGGCGAGCGAAGCGAGCAGGTTAGGTTAGTTAAATTAGGTACGCGGAAAGCGTTGCAGTTCTAGCTAGCAGTCCTAGCTGGCAATCCTAGCTGGCAATCCTAGCTAGCAGTCCTAGCTAGACCATTGAAATATCATGTCACCCCAAAAAAATTCCCGCCATGGGGGAAAGTGAGACAAAGTCTTGGAATTCTCTGAAACGTCCAAAAATTTAGTAAAAATTTTTAACTTTGACCTCTTCTTGTGACCTTAATATACATTTGCCGGTAAAAAATTTTTTATGTTTTTGCTCAGCGTGAAAAACCCTACATTTGTGTATCACATTCCCCCATTGGAGAGGGATCGTTTTGCTTGTATTCCGAAACATAAATACGAGACTGGCAAAATTATAGAAAATGTCATATATAGCTGAAATATGGAAAATCTTGGGGAAAGACGAGAATTCTAGTTTCTTTTTGTAGAATATCGAATTCCAATCGTTTTTCAAAAAATCGGAAAATTGTTAGGACTCTGGGATAAAGTATATCAAAGTTTATTATAGCTATGCCCCGTATTGGGGTACTGTTCGTAGTTAAGCGAGCGAAGCGAGCAGGTTAGGTTTTACTAAGTAGGCGGAAATGGTTAACTTGCACCCTAGCTAAGAGAGCTCACTAGAAGAACTAGCTAGGAGAGCTAGGTAGAAGAACTAGCTAGGAGAGCTAGCTAGAAGAACTAGCTAGGAGAGCTAGCTAGAAGAACTAGCTAGGAAAGCTAGCTAGTAGTAGCTAGAAACTAGAAATCTCAGCTTACCCCAGACATCTAACTTACCCCAAAAAATTCATCCCCGTATTTCAGCTATATATGACATTTTCTATAATTTTGCCAGTCTCGTATTGATGTTTCTCTGACTTTCTCAATTTACCCCATAGGCGCTGAGTGTAGGCGCTACGGCCTACATATTTAGGCGTTAGGCGCTGTGGCCCACTTATTTAGGGGCTAGGCGCTGTGGCCAACTAGGTAGGCGCTAGGTGCTGTGGCCTGAGGTGCTAGGCGCTGAGGCCCGCCACATTTTTCTGTGTGGGACACAAACTAAACCAAGGAAAGAGTTCCTTGGTCTTACTATTAGTTTGTGGAATTTGTAAGAGTCAAGTGAAAATGTGGGAGCAGAGAAATCGGGTAAAAGCCCAAATCTCACCGAATCGGGTCTCACTTTTCCTCCAGACTTTCACCAGTTCACACAACCCGATCGGAACGGAACCAGAGTGACAGGAACTTGGTCTCAAATTTTCTTGACAAGATTCAATTATTTGATTTGATAGGTTGTGTGCGGTTGAGTTGAGTGGAAAAATATCGCGGCGACAGAAATGAGGCCGAATTGTGAGCAGGGGTTTGTTTTGTTCAAGTTGATATTTGTTTTGATCGTGTTACTTGGCGAGGTGGGGGTGGGAAACGGTCATCATCATCACCACCAACACGGTCATGGAAATAGGAAGCGACACAGGAGTGGCAGAAGTCATCAATTTAAAATTAAGGTGGGTTAATTAAAAGTTTAACTTTAAATATTCAGTATTAAAATACGAGCAGATAAAATATGAAGTTTTTAATCTACTTCATGCACAAAAAGTTCGACAAATATCGCGAATTTCGCGAAGAGAAGACTTTTAAACTAAAACGAAGTCTTTTAGGTATCTAATTTACTTTAATCTACTTAAACAATGTGTTTACTTACCTTACATAACCGCATAATCTCAACTTTCCTGTGAATGTGCATGTGAAAATCATATTACAAAGCTCTAATTTCGCCCATGAGCAAAATTTGCATTACTCTGCTGAACTCTCGAGAAGTTTTCAAAATTAAAATCACTGACCTTGCACGTTACTACATAAATATTCATGAAATTCCGACAGTGCAGAAATGCATACGTACACAAATAAATTCCAACATCGCCCTTATTGATCTTATCAGCCCAGGAATAACAATTTCTTACTTTTCTATTCATTAATTCAGCTTGTATACTTTCTCCGAAGAGAAATATCATGTCTCTCCTTCCCCCTACTCACTTTCTCAGTTGGACGTTATGAGAATAATATATTTGATGTAGACACGAGCTGCCGTCAGTTTTTTGGCACGTTTCGTTCTACATGACTTGGCAAACTCGAGTCCAAACAAATGAATTAAGTAGCATATCGTTTACAAAGTAAACTAAAGTAAAAAAGATTGTACAGATGGACGACGACGACACACAAACAGATGGACGACGACGACACACAAACAGATGGACCCCAAGTCAAGCCAAGTTCTAAAAATGTATGCTTTACTTTCTTCAAACAACTTTGGCACAGAAATTGGTCGTGATGAAAAGTATTTTGCTGACTTGGATGGCATGGGATGTGTTTGTTGTAATATAAGCAAACTGAGGAGTAGAAGGTCACTACTTGTCGGGCCCCAATTTCGATCTTTGGATATGTTGTAGTACTACATGAGTGTAGAAAAAGTGAAGGAGGGTTAGACTCCATGAGCCCATTTACGCCCGCCACACCCCCTCAAAGGCGCCCAAACCCCCAGAGTTGCCGCACTAAAATCATCGCCAAAAATCGAGTTTTGCTCAGATTTGGATGAAATTTACATTTTTGTGATCCCAGATAGTTGCTCTATTATATCCAATAGCAAACTCAATTTTTTGAAACTTCGAATTTTTTCAATACATACCCTTGGTCAGAAAATCTTCGAAAATATTGAAAATTTCAAAAAAGTTGAGTTTGCTATTGGATATGATAGAACAACTATCTGGGATCACAAAAATGTAAATTTCATCCAAATCTGAGCAAAACTCGATTTTTGGCGATGAATTTAGTGCGGCAACTCTGGGGGTTTGGGCGCCTTTGAGGGGGTGTGGCGGGCGTAAATGGGCTCATGGAGTCTAACCATCCTTCACTTTTTCTACACTCATGTAGTACTACAACATATCCAAAGGAGATCGAAATCGGGGCCCGACAAGTAGTGACCTTCTACTCCTGAGGTGCGTGGGTAGGCAGGAGGTCACCTCAAAGAAGAAAGGTGTCGTCCCAACATTTTCTTTGGCCCAGCCAAATAAATATAAATCTACACACACACAATAGCCAGCTACCCACCATATTACTATAGAGTAACGAAACTTACTTTCACTCCTTTTCCACGACCACCTTGGAAATAATAAATTCGGCTGCGAAATATGGTGGAGAGAGAGGTGAGTTTGCTGGTCTGGTCTGGTCCCATAGGGTGTCATTGTTCCGCTTTGGTTCATTCGTTCCGAGCCCCTTTATATTCTGCTTCACTGGAACGGAATGGATTCACCAATTTTAAAATACAATACAATTTGAGTAACAAATCAAGTAACTGTTTGTTCCTGTGGTGGTGGTGCCCAATATTTAATCGAATCGCCCAGCATGAATCGGATATCAATATTTGCTTTGCGAAAATATTTCATATTTTATCTCTCCCAAAAATTAGGACCAATTTTGGTAAATTCTTTACCCCGGGGAAGAATTTAGCCGAGTAGTTGAACTTTCTGGATTTCCTCATGAGCCATTAACCCTAACCCCACCTTAAAATCAGGTTTATTGGAAGTTTCCCCATAAAATGGGACACATTTGGTTTGGCCAAGAGAGCATTTTGAGATTTATGGATTGTTTTCTCTCTCCTCATCCATCGCGGACCAACTTTATTTATACTTTCGCCAACAAATACATACATACATACAAACACATACACAGGGACCAGACCATCCTGCCTGCCGCCCCCCATGCGCAGCATACAAGGAAACTTAACGAGTCGAAAGTTTTATTGGTTTTGGCTTGATTTCTCGAATTCTGCTGCTTCGTCGACCTTCGATCTATACAGTAGTGCAGTGGCAATTATCTTAATGAGATCACGCACAAATTGCTAATATCTATAATCTCCTCGTACATATACGAGAAAGAAGCTAACCAAGCAAACACATCACATAACGTAACATATCCCATATAAACCTTGGGTGAAAGTATGTGTAAGTAAAAGTTTGCTAATTACTCCTCTCTCCTCGTATTAGTCGTGGCTTCATTCCACAAGAACAGACCACACATGGATGGGCAGACAGAGAGGAAAAACAAACAAACTCTATTTGTATGAGCCAACTATGTTTTATGTGCAAACACGGTATAAAATCCGGTTATTTGACTTTCTCTTTGTTTTCTTTACGGGGGTATAATTCTCGCTTTTAGAGAGAAAAACATGCATTTTGTGTGGTAGTTACGGAGCATAAGGTGCTGCCTAAAAGTAAGGCAGAGAAGGTAAAATGACTTTTTGTCATCTATTTTTCACATCCTCGTTAAAAAATCTTTAATAAAAATGTAATTTGTCATCATCACTTTATAATAATGAAATAGCTGCCTGCCTTATTTTCGGTTCTGGGAAAAAAATCTCCTAAATCGCAAACTTTCCCATCTTTTCCAGGAAAATAATAAGATTCGACTTTCACTTTAGCTAGTGTCACCTGATGATAATGATGCACACGCATCGCCAGTTTTGCCGACTTGAGCAGAATATTGAATAATAAGAAACTTTGGGTAAATAACGCTTGAATAATTTCCCTATTACTTTCTCACAGCGTCAAAGCCTCCCATTTCGTGTTCACTTTGTTGATCGTGTGACGTTGACAGTAATGGATGCAGCCGGGCAGCGGGCGGAGCAGGGGGGGCATTATTAATATTAAACGCCTTGTCGACGGGGTGTCACTTCCTTAAACGCTCCATTGGCCATTTTGTTACCCGAGATGGACAGCCACCAAAGAGAACAAAAGACACTGGCTACTTATCAATTTCATACAATTTTAGTGTCTAGTTTCACTCTTACTTAATGTGTCATCCCACCCCGAAAAAGGTGCCTGCCTGCCAGCCCCGTGTCAAGTTACCACACTGAAATAGCAGACTAAACGAATTTATAAGCAAACGTGTCAACTTTATTTGAAACATAATTTAATTTTGCGGAATAATAAACAACACAAAGAAACAAAGGGGAAAGTGAACGTGAAAGCAAAACTTGGCAGGAAAAGTTATCTCTGGTTCTTATCTGGTATTAAATAATATGAAATGTTTCACGTCACGTTGGTTTTTCGTGTCGGACGAAGAGGACACAAAGTTTTGTCCAGACCGACGGACCGATATAAATATAAAGCAGTCCTCCTATTTTACGGCTATTTTCACTCCCCTCATGATGACGATGATACTAATGGGACGGGAAGGATCACGCCTTCACTCCACTCTCCTCAATAATAAATGAAAGTCTTTAAGTAGCTGTGTTTATTGTAAACGTGGCGTAATAAATATTGTGAGGATTACAAAATAGAGTAGCATTTTTCTACTTGGCAGAGTCGAGAAAGTCGGTAAAAGCAACAGTTTTTTTGTACTTGCTATTTCTGGCTAACAATTTACTTAGGGAAACCAATTGGATTTTTGTCTACGAAAAAAATCAAAACTATGCATAAGCTCCTCGTTCTTTGATCTTTATTCATTTTACAAGAGGGAAAAAATAATGGTGTTGACAAATATAAGATCAAACATGTTCGGGCAGACGAGAAGCTTTCATTTTATTTATTTTGTCTTTCTCCTCTGCTCCACATGATTTCATAAAGTTATGCAATATCACGAAATTTAAAGATTCATGACTCTGCCTTCCTGATCCGATAATGTCAACCGGGAGGACAAAGTATTAAGTAAACAAGATCAAAACAAGGAGAAGAGAAGTTTAGAGAAAGTTTTCCTCTATGCACGAAGAAAAACTAATGCCTACCATGTATCTGCCGAGGTTCTTCTGTTTTTGTCATCTGCTTATGTACACTTTCTTCATCTACCAAACTTTATTTGTTGTTAGTGCTATGTACTTTTTTAGAATAGAAAAATCAAAATTCTTGCCCTTTTTCTCCATTTCGTGGCCCATTTCCTCCCTTTAAATCGCGAGGTGAGGCGAGCTCCACGCAGTCCAATTGGCCATTCGGGGATAATTTTTCCCATTTTGTTTAGCATATTGTTGATGTCTGGCTGTCTGTCCCACTTTTCTGCGAACATGTTGATCTTCTCGTTCGTCCGAAATTGGCATAGGATTTGAGAAGCGAGAAAGTTGCAGATTTCGAGTGGAATGAATGATGAATAATGCATGATCAACACTACCAATATATGATCGCCTTGTGCTATATGTAATATTGTAAAGCAGACACAAATCCTGCCACCAGGAACTTCCGTTTCCTCCTTTCCTCACCTAATAAGGTGTCATCCCCACCATAAAATAAATGAACAAACTACCTGGACGTGGGTGGGAAGCAAATCTCTCATTATCATGCAGCCGGGGACAATATTCACATCAAAACAATGACAGAACGAACCAAGAGGGGAATAAGCACTTAAGTTTGACGTGGTGGTGGTGGAGGAAGTTGTTGAAGAGCATCGTCGTCAAAGGTCTAAAACTTGTCATCACCACTTTGGAATTCGTGGTCTGGTATTCATATTCATATTCGTCCATCGTATGACGAACCGAATAACCGCATATGAGCCAAAGTTTTTAGCGGAGGAGGGAGAAGAAGAGCCATAAAAGAAAGTCTGGCTTGGCTTGGATACCACTTTTTAGGACACGTGACATGACTAAAGTTGAAAAAGTTGGGATTTTTTTTCTATATCCATCCATAAGTAGCTCGAGGAGAGGCAAATGTTTTAAAAAAATGTTAACGTATAATTTCTACCCGAAGGCGATTGAGGTGGGTTTCGAGGTGAAGTAAGGTGAAAGTCGTTCATAGCGCAGGGGGGCAAATAATAATGTGGCCTAATCTAATGTAATGTCGTCAAAAAATGGAGAGACCGAGATGAGAAATGCGAACAGAACCTGGTTTCGTTGAAGTGGGGGTATAAAATAAAAATGATGACATTTTGTGGTTGGTTGGGTGACTCTCCCAATTTCCTCCACTAGAGAAATAGCCTCGAGAATGGAATTGACATCTTTTGTAGCGTTTATTTTATAAGGGCCACCCAACCAACCGACGGATGTAGAAGAAATAAGCTATACGAGGAGAACTACTGTGGGATGGGATGACCATTAATCTCTCTCTTTCAACAGATTTTCTTTTTCGAGAGTCGGCTCGGGTCCGTCGGTCTTCTTCCTTTGTTACCTTTACATACTTACATAACGTCATACATACAGAGAGAGAGAGAGTCGGGGAGGTTGTTATATACATGAAGTATGAACACTGAACAAGGAATAAGTATGGCTGGGAAAGTATTTATCCCACACAGCAGTAGAAATATAAGGGCTTAAATATTGTCAATTTTATTTCATTTTTTTGTAATCTGGTCAGAAAAAAGAGATTACGCGATTTCCACTAGGTGGAATAATCGAATTGGAAATAAATTCTTATTACTACTCTATTTACTACTGATAATTTCATAGACCTCCTGGTGGACAAGTTTTTTTTGCGAAATAAAAGTAGTAAAAAAAACACCGAAAAATAGTCCAGGAATTATGACCGTTTCTGGTAAAAATTCCTAAGCCTGAAGAACTATAAATAGTAATTGCAAATACTGGTCTTCATCGTAAACCGATAAAAAAAGCAGGCATCTATTTAGTTGATTTCACAAAATACATTTCATATTTATTTATTTTTGGCGTCAATCTTCCACAAAATCTATTTAGTTAATTTCACAAAATACATTTTATATTTATTTATTTTTGGCGTCAATCTTCCTCAAAATCTATTTAGTTAATTTCACGAAATACATTTTATATTTAATTATTTTTGGCGTCAATCTGTAACAAAATATAAATAAAATTTCTTTAAAATTTCAGCCAACCTGCTCCGAACAGTGGACGATATCCTGTCCTCCAATCATCTTCCCGGACTATTCCTCCTGCTCCTGGACCTGTCCAGGCTCTACTCCCGGGGACGGCCCGATCTGTGGTAGTGACGGTTTAATCTACGACTCCCGCTGCATCCTCGAGAAGGAGGCTTGTCTCCAAAAATTGCGACAGTTTGGAACATCATCGTGGAACGATGCGGGGGACGAAACCGCACGGAATATATTGACAGTTGACGAGACGGGCGGCCGGAAGTGCGTTCATTTCCTGGAACCTCTCCATCAAAGAACGGGCATCCAATCTTTTTACGACGAAAAAGGTGAGTTTTTCGAGTCCAATCTCATTTTATTATTTATTAGCAACAGGTTCGAGAAAAGATTGTGATCATATTGTCAAAAGAAAAGAGATGACAATTCGGAGGGGAGAAGATAAATATGATTGCATGTAAGATTGACGTATTTATGAATTTCCCTCAGTCAGATATTTATACAATTACAAGTAACTTTTGTGTGTAGCAAGAAAAAAATAGGGAGAATTTCCTCGGACTTTTTGCCATGCCATAAAAAAGATGAAGATTCGTCTCGCATTCTTTCCCTATTCTTCATTCTTCCACTCTATTCATGCATGCTTATCATTATTTAGTCCCCTCTCTCTCTCGAGAAATGCATTCATAAATACATAGTCAGTCCAATCTTCATCTTCCACGTCCTGTGCGACGTACTACAAACGTATATCCATCACAATATTCTGCCACCGAAGGCAAAATGCAGGAGCAGAAGCTAATCCGGCCATTGTCATCGTCATCTCGTGATGCCAGAGTCTCGAACATTGTTGCATGTCGTCCTAGGACATGAAATGAATCAAGAGGAGGCAATTTTTTAAAGAGGAAAAAAGAAGATGAGACATCATTGTGGTTGTATTTGTATGTACGTATCACATGAAAATGGTGTGTATTTTACTCAACGTTTCCAGATTGCAGAGGGAAAGCAGCAGTACTAAAAGAGCTTTTTAACGTGTTGTCGTAGTGTTGCTTTTATGTTCCTCTGAGCTTTCTCGAGTTGCTGTCATCGGTCAAATGAGGGATGTAGTAGGAGTAGCAGGAAACGATATAATTCATGTCCACTCTCCCATTCCACCAACGCACCGAAATGAGGCAGAATTTCCAGCCTTTTGTTAAATACTTGATCGAAATGAGTAGTGCACAAAAAATAAGTAGAAATTCAGCCAGCGAAACGGTCCACTTTATTTCATTTTAGAAGCAGAATTAAAGTTACATATAATCACACATTTTAAGCTGCAAAATGTAGATATACGTAGCGAAATGTCATGATATCATCCTCATATTCAAGTCTCACTATATACTCAAGAAGAATACGTACGACTGCTTTCCCCAGATTTATAAATAATGTGCTTAGGAGAGCAGAGGACAAGGCGAGTTGCAAGCTCGATCTCATCCAATATTGAAAATCCCTTAGTTGCCATTACTCTGTAGGGATGAATCCTCTTCCTGAAATTCCACAGAATACCCACGCACTTTAACTTAACTATATACACATTCTATTCCTATCTCGTACATATTCCGAAAATCCGAACAGTGTTGGGAATGGATATTTATTAAAATTTAAAACACGTTTATATTTATTACCATTTTCTTGTCTCCGGGTGGGAGGCTATCTATTGATACTGACTGACTGAACTGGTCTCTCTCACTTTCTCTGCCCTGGTGAAACGGAGAAGAAATCCAATCCAGCAGCGACAATGGGCTGTGAAGTGAATGGTATTTGTTGTATTATTCGAATTGAATTGTGTGTCTCTCGTCGACATAAATCTATCCACTACTTGACTCCATTGTGCAGAGGGGAACAAGTTGAATATAAATATAAAACGATATAATGAAAATGAAAAAGGGGAACCCGATTAAATGACGTTTCATACAATTCGGTCAATATTGGTGGAGAGCATTATCTACAAATACATACAATGGGGACGCAAACCTAGTTCAATCCAGATTACTTCTTGACCATGTTAGTTTGAAACAAGAACTCTGTAGAAACAACTAGGGCTAGCTAGCTAGCCTTCCTAGCTAGCCCTCGTAGCTAACCATTTCAAGCTTTCCGCGCACCCAAACTAACCTAACCTGCTCGCTTCAAAACGAATAATTATGATAATCGAATCGATGGTTATTATTCGTTTTGAAGCGAGCGAAGCGAGCAGGTTAGGTTAGTTTGGGTACGCGGAAAGCTTGAAATGGTTAGCTAGGAGAGCTAGCTAGGAGAGCTAGCTAGGAGGGCTAGCTAGGAGAGTTAGCTAGGAGGGCTAGCTAGGAGACCTAGCTAGGAGGGCTAGCTAGGAGACCTAGCTAGGAGGGCTAGCTAGGAGACCTAGCTAGGAGGGCTAGCTAGGAGAGTTAGCTAGGAGGGCTAGGTAGGAGACCTAGCTAGGAGGACTAGCTAGGAGGGCCAACTAGGAGAGCTAGCTAGGAGGGCTAGTTAATAAGAAGATTTAGAAATAACTAATCTCATTTTATCCCCAAAGTTTTCCGCCATGAGGGAAAGTGAGACAAAGACTTAGAATTCTCTGAAACGCCTAAAAACGCAATAAAGTAGCTGAAGCCAGTTAATAAAAAAATTGTACTTATGACTTTTTGTGAGCTTAATATATATTTGCCGGTCAAATATTTACATATTCTGGATCAGCACGAAAACCCCTTCAATTTGGTGTATGAATTTCCCCCCTGCCCGTTTTATACCCTTTCAAACTAACATGGTCAAAAAATAATCTGTGTTGAACATGGTTAGCGTCCCCATTGTTAGTGTATTATGCCTTCCAAATGAAAATGGAAAACGGGGCTGGATTCGAATATCAAAAAGGCAGAGACAAGTTTGGATAGATTTTATTTCGAGTCTGTATTTATCATCAAAACGACAAGAGAAAGCCATTTATTATCCGGAACGATGAAAAACCCACTTTCTCTAAAGCTTTCCTCGTAATGAATTATTAGGGATGGGAATTAACACATGTCGCAAATGTGGGTGCATTCAAAGTTTTTCGGAATCTGTACAAAAAATGGAGGCGCATACTTGCACAAATTTTATTCCTATACATACTTTTCAACTTTTTCAATAAATGGAGATTAAACTGGAATAAAAGTGGAAATCTTGTCGTGTCTGACTTGTTCTTTTTTCGGGGAGAAAAGTGAAAGAATTCGGAATCGGAATTTGGATCCTCACTGGGACTACTGGGGCGCCAGTTAGTTACGGGTTTTTCTTGTTGATGAAGAAGTGAAAGTTTTCTCATTTCATCTCATCAGCGGTTGGGCAGAGGACGCCGATAAATTAGTAGTAATGGCTCCCGTCCAAGTCGGGATTAAAAATCATCACTCTTCTGATCTACACACACGCCCTCCGGCATCCGGACCAACTTTGCCTCTGACTTTCTCTCCCGTACATTCACAGCCTAATCCCGATAAGGGTGGGTCAGTCCAAAGTGCAATGGATGCAATGTCGATGTCCATGTCGTCACGGCCGGAAATAATCCACCCATCCAATTTTAGCTGGTTTAGTTTTACTCTAGAAGCACTTATTGGATGAAGGAGATGAAGAAGGAGGACGTTCATAATTTGTGTGCAAGCCTGGGCCGAGTAGAAAATGAAAGTGCAGAGAAATCCGGAAGCTCAACGTGTGCTTCCTCCCCCCTTAATCAGCCTGGAATTAATGCGTGCCTTACATTTACACATCCGCTATTTCCTCCACCCACACCCCAATCTAATCTACTAGTCTCATCTAATGTCATCCATCTAACGCTATAGTATGGCCATGATCCTTTAATTATCTAGACACGAGGAGGAACACCACTCTGCCTCAATTTGCACTATTTTATTATGGAAGAGACGGAATCAGGCATTAAGCACCACTTTGAAACAAATCGTTCCAGAATATGGATGCAATGGAATGAAATCTCTATTTTCGAGTCACGGGGTGTCGTGATGTTATTGTGTTTCTCATTATTTCCAGGAAGTCGTGGTGCTGACATGGTGAATACTGGTGGGACGAGGACGACGACAATAACTACGCTAGCACCAGCAAGAATGAGTAGTACGACAGAATCTCATCTTCCCAGTCAGCAATCTGGCAGAAATGGTGAAAGTGGTTCTGCTGCTTTCTCGGTAGGGGAAAGAATGCAAGCCGATGAGGCAGAGAGACATCATACCGAGGAGGAGAAAGTTTGTAGCAGGGAAGACTTTGAACGTTTCAAGGTAAACGAGTCACGGATTTTTTTAAAAACTTTGTGGCAAATTGTAATTTTTTTGAAATTACAAGTAAAATGGATCGTTTAATCATAGACTTTTTAACATCACGACATGATGCGAATTAATTGTATTTTTTACAGGGAAAATTGTTCGACTTGACCAAAATCAAGTGGCGAGAGATGACATGGGGTAAAACTGAGACACCAAAAAATGACGACTTGGAGAAGATGAGCCCCACATGGAGCCGACTTTTGGCAGGAGATGGACCGGAAGCTGATAAGGACAATTTAATACGCCTCATCTTTTCCAGCTTAGATCACGATTCTAACTTCATTCTGAACTATGCCGAACTTTATCAAGTAAGAGCGAAAAGAATGGAAAAACTGCTATCAGAGGCCTTCCCGTTAAGAGATATTCCTCCTTCACTTAAAAAAAGAGAAAGTTCGCACATGCCACCAAATCCACACGAGTACAGTACACCGAATCCCACCAATTTTACCATTTGGCACGAAATAACTGTACATTCGCCCATAGGAAAAGTATTCGTAGTAGAGTAATACATCCATCCTCCTCATGCCATGTATGTAATGCGCCTACGTGTCCAATACAAGTGGCCTGGCTTATCGTATCTCATACCGATTCAAAGGAATACACGAAACCATTATTTTTATTGCTTTTGTTTCACCATCATCATCTCTTCGTCACATTACAGGCAGACGTAGACTTGGTTGAACCCTTGCTGAAGGGTAACTGTCAATGGAGGGACTTTCTCCGATTTCAGGACAAGGATCCACAAGATGACAAAATCCACGTCACGGAATTCTACGCCGCCTTCTCTCATCTTTACGGTGAGTTAAAGTAAAAAAAAGTCACAAATATGTCACAAACAGGTTTACCAATTCTTTTCCCATTCTCCACGATTCTTATTTTTGTATCAAAATCACTCACAACACACCAAACGAAAAATAAATAGAATAAAAAATACACTAAAAACTTGGTCAAACTTTTCCCTCAAAGAAAGAAGAACCTGCTGTTGCTGTGCTAATATGATAAACTTGGGATACACACTACTACAAAATCTGTTAGAAAGTTTGGCAAAAGTAATTTGCATAGTTTGACTACTTTTCTTCCCTCTTCTAAAAACTTTGTCTTCTTTCTCTTTTTCCGAAGCAAGGAGCGAAAGTATCAATTTAGGCGGAAAGTGAGAATAAGTAAGCCAATATTGGTTGGCTTTCCGTTATAAAAATAACCCCGGAATTTACACTCGTCACAAATTATACGTTCCCTTTCTTTTCTCGCTTTCACTCCATCTGACACTGCTCCTGTCTTCGCCAGCCAAAGCTCTAATCCGATCATATCTTTATCACATCAAATAAATCCTGACACAAATCTACACCACGGAAGGAAAGGATTCTTTTTTTTCAGACTCACTCACTTGGTGGTGGTGGTCTGGTCGTTGTAAAATTGGATGATTTGATGCAGTGGTAGTTTTCCGCTGTCATTTCCTCCTCACGGTTTCATTTCATCGAATGGATGGATTTTTATTTAAGGGGTGACGATGATTTCCCTCGAGAAGGCGTTCGAGTGGAAGAAGTTGGATGTCGTCCAAGGGGAGGATCTCCATCTGTACTGTGATGTCGTGGGGTCTCCTCCCACCCGCGTGGTATGGACCACACCCAATATCAAGCCGCAAAAACGACGAACCAGTGACGACCCCCACATTTTGCACGAGGTGGATGGATCCTTACTCATTTTGGGAGTGGAGAAACACCACGGGGGAAATTATTCGTGCAAGTCGGTAAGAAACGAGGAGGTGGTGCAAGTCATATCGCTAAATGTGGTCAGTTCCTCGAACAGTAGGAGTATCAGTAAGATTAATGGCAAGGAGACCGTTAACAATGTAAGTTATTGGACTGAAAGTAGGTTGTTTGATAGAAATGGGGGGAAAGTTTTGGATCGAGAAAGTAGTGCGGAAGCGAGTAGTTCGTATCTTATGGAGGAGGACGAAGACTATTTATAATAATATTTTTGAAAAAAGAAGAAATAAATTGTGAAACGCTTATAATAATTGTATAAGAATTTCTTGTTAAGAATTGTTGTCAATTAGATAATAAAATTACACGTAAATATATATAAGTTTAGTTACGTAAATAACATAATTTATTAGTTTCTGTGTTATACTTAAATCTATAAAATATTTAACTTCCATTTTTTTTAATTCGTTTTTATTTTAAATTATGTATGTATTTAATATTACTTGTAAATAAAAAAAATATGTATCAAAACCGTGAGAACCCGTAGCACGTAGAGCTTTCTGTTAGTAAAAGTTGACTAATTTGCATAGGAATTATTTTCTATCATCATTAGTCCTGATATACTGCCCCAATTTAATTCCATAATCATCACCTTTATAAAACATCAATTAATGAAGAATGCAACTTTCAAACTCTAATAACTCCCAATTTTTGTCACTCTATTAATAGTAGAATAATGTCTAACTTATCCGTCACATCTTATCTTAACTTATAAGTTATGAACCACAAATCTAAAAATAGACGGTTAAATGGTAATGCCCAAAATACAATGCGTCTATTTCTGTACAGGAAACGAGTACAAACAACAACAATTGTAGCGTAAAGTGCAAATAGTAGAATCAGATTAGAAGTGACATTCGTTCTATAAGTGACATTCAAGATTTGATAAAAGTTTTTTTTCCCTTCGTTGAGGCAGGTTGTCATTAAATTAATTCTGTTTATAAGTAAATCTTCCTTAAGAACAAAGCGATGGGCAATGCGAAATTACTGTACTGTGAACCATCTCATCAAACTTTATCCAATGTCACTCAACACAAATACGATTCACTCAACAAATAAATAAAAAGTACAAACCTTTGTTTCCATCTTTTTGTTGTGTGGTTTGGTTTAGTAGGTTCAATCAAACTCAACTGCGTGTGAAATTGAGGACTTGATCATAATGGAGACGAAGACGTAGAAATGACAAGTCGTCTCAAAAATTGAATTATTTCTGTTCCTCACTGACAGTAAGCATTATGTGAGATTTTGTATTGTTTCAAGTCAACAATTGGGGTAAAAGTGCGTAAAATACAATTACACTACGGGAATGGTCTACATATTTAAAAGTAGAAAATGGGATGTTCATATAGGTAAAATCAACGCACTTTCTCATAATTGTGCTACTATTTGTGGGTGAAATCGATTTTTACAAATTTAAATACCTAGAACATGATTGGTGAAATATACGCCTTGTATATTTATGATAAATTAGCATATAAATTAGACATTTTTTTCGACTACGGTATAATAATCAGGTACATACATGGATAAGTTACATAGGTTTAATAGCACAGCACGCTAAAGAGCTACGTGTATTTTAGAGACAAAGAGATCAGAAGGCGATTTTTTTTCTTGCACACATGAACATAATTATTCTATGCACCTGTTATAACTTAATACTAATTTGGTAAAATTAGAATCGAACCAAATTATGATGCAAGAAGTGGGTCGTCGTATTTCGCACAATGGTTTCAATCTGTTTTTGCACGTCCGGCTGAATCCGACGGGTAAATACACCCTCAATCTCACGCTCCAACTCCATCACCGACTCGTCCCCTGTATGCTCGCGATGCTCTTTCGTGGATAATTCACCCTAAATTATTTCGCAAATTATCAAATTTCTGCAAATCTTCCGCAAAAAATAAAGTAAAATTCTCTCACAACGCGCTTCTCCAATCCAAGCGTCCTCCAGTACAAGTCTGCAATCCCGACCCCAATATCGCTCCCCTTATCCAGCAAGATAACCAAGGGCTGTAGCTTAATTCGCACCGATAAGGCACCCGTATGGATCGGAAAGATCGAGTGGATATCGAAAAGTCGGACAGAATCGGCCGCAAAACGACTTTCATGGAAATACATTTCTAGCCGATTGTTCAGAATTTCGAGCTCGTTTCCTCCACCGGGACATCGTAGCTCGATGAGGGGATCATGAACGGCATTGACCGACTGGATGGTGACGATGTACTGTGGGTGACGTTTCAACCGTTGTTGGAATTTGAGTCGGGATAAGCCCCACTCGTGGGTTAAGATATTCTTCTGAATTTCGTATTGCAATCGGGAACAAGAGGAAGAAGGCAGGTGACGATTTTCTTTTTCTTTTACTGCATTTCGGGTACAGTTTATGAAAAATTGTAGAATTTATATTATGCTTAAAGATGACACCTTACCTGACGGGATAACCACGATGGGGTCCAAACTTTGAGTAAAATCCAGCACTAATAACACCAGGACACAACTCGAGATGAAAATAGAACTGAACATTTTCAAGATTATAAAATTTATTTTTACAAAGTTACGAAATACTGCGATGACACGACCACCTCAAAATTAAGACTGACACTGTCTCTGAATTGTTACATGCATACGTTACTCTTGCTTGCGATTATGTTACGCGTCTGTCTTGTCTACCTGGTGAGAATGAGATACAAATCTGATTTCTTGATCTCTAGTCGAATCCAATTGTCGGAGGAGGATGAGGGATTTCTTAATGAATCTCGTAGGTATTTTTAATTCGCACAGTAGTAATAACCTTGACTAATATGAAGTACCGTATGAAGTACTATTTTTGATGCACCCCTTCCCCCGCGGTACTAGTTTTGTAGGCAATTAAACTCTCTGCACGAGGAAGATGAATGCACAGCTATAAAAAAAAGTTGTACTCTTATTTAATGCAGTTTATATTTTAACGAGGTAGCATGCAACGCAAGTCATGTAAGTATAACTGCGAAAGAGTACATAATACATAATGATGGCATATATACATGGTCGGGTGAATTCTTCTCAAGCGTAAATGACACATATACTACATACATACACACTTGGCTTTAAATAGTGTTTTTAAATGATGCATGCATTTCTTAAGGGCATGCATGCACTAGTAAAAAAAATACCTAAATAGCGTTTTCATCAGCTAAATGATTAACTTTTAGAACAAAACGAGTAGTTTGTTTTACAAGAAAATGAGACAATCGCTTCGACTCATTCATTGTGTACATGCGATGTGTGGCATGGTTTGGCGTGGGTGGGGGTTAGTTGGATGGCTGGTCTCAATTCAATCATAATAAGACATCAACGTCATCATCTCAAGTCGGAAATGTGATTGTGAGCCAAACCAACATAATCATCGTAGTTTAGAAAACAATAGGAAATTGAAAAGATAAAAAGTATGGAATTATTGTTGGTGGATTAATAAAACGGTTCGAGAGTATTATGTTGAATAAAAAAAATCAAGATAGCAAAGTTTTGTGAGGTATGTAAACTCATAATATGAATTGAAATGTTTCCAAACCAAACAAAAATTATGATGAAGTTTGTGCGGGTGAAGGTTGCATTGGTCTTGGATGATGGATGTGGATGTCCTCACGACTACAAAACCTCACGAAAACAAAGAGATGACAATTCCTAGTAAAAAAATATAAAAAGACCTTTGCGAATTTAGGTCAGGAGGTATTTGACCATTTCTGTATGACGACAGTAACAGCAAACAACCACACATAATCAAACCGCATTGCACACTTTAAGTTAATTCACTTACTAAATGTAATGCTGACAGTGCCATAATGCCCATAATTTTATATTAAGCAAATAAAAAAGTTTTGTCATACAAAAAGGCATTGATGTTCCTTTAACATATTAATTAACAGCCTTTATTTTCTTTCTTTCTTTAAACTCAACTAGATTGTAACGTAGTTTTAAACACTCGAACATTTATATGCAAAGAGGTATTATAGCTATTTTAAGAAATTATTTGTCAAATATAAATGCACTACTGAACTGACTCCGGATCTTGAAACACTTTTTGTTATTTATGACTCAATGTTTATAGATGAAAGTTATGAAGGATTGTTCATGTTGCCTGTAGCTGGAAGATTGATTAAAGTGCTTTGTCCGGCCGGGAGATAAGTCACATTTCTTGACTTGGCTAATTGATAAGCAATGTCTTCAGCAGCTTCGACTCGTCGCAATTCGACCAAGCCTTCGCCAGCATCCTTGAAAGCGTTGGCCAACAAGTTAGCAGCCTATCGACATGTAGACATTGTAAAAATTGTTTTTGATAATAGAATTAATTCATAAAGTTAAATGCCATTATTACTTGAGAGTCACCCTGAGCGGAAATGATAGCAGCTTTCTTTTGCTGTTCAGCCTTTTCTACTAGGAACCTGGCCCGCTCGGCGTCTTGTTGCGCTACTTGCTTCAATTCGACTGCTTGAGTAAACTCTTTTCCAAAAGTAAGATGTGTCTAGCAAAAAAAACGAACGAAAATTGGTAATTTTCAAACAGTTTGCTTATGATCCCTAAAGATTAACACTTATCCACTCACGATGGAAATATCGTCAAGAATGATACCAAATTGTCCCGCACGTTCATTAAGCGCATCAGAAACCTTAGATGATACAATTTCTCGCTGCGTGATCAATTCACCAGCATCAAACTGGGCGACGGTAGCCTTTAAGACTTCATTTGTGATTGAGGGGAGAACCCTTTCATCATAATCGACTCCCAGCGTGGTGAAAATCTTTGGCAGCTCATCGGGAATGGGTCGGAAGAGGAGTCGAAGGGTAATGTTGACATTTTGCAAATCTTTCGAGCCAGTTATTGAAGGGACGTTTCTAGGGCGGGAGCGGATGTCGAATATAATCGGTCGCTGGACCCATGGCACGAAGAAATGTGTCCCTTCTCCAATCACGTCGGGCTTTACTCCGTAGAATCTATCGAAAATTACAGCTCTGTGACCTCCGTCAACTGAAACCCAAACAAAACCGATTTATTTTATACGTCGTACGACACACTTTTACTTTCTAGCTTTACCCAATCAAATGCTAAATTATTCTTCACAATAAATTGCAAAATCACTCTGAAACTTCACAATATCAATGAACATGAATAACTTTTTCATTTTTAATGACATTGTTAACAAATTTGCATGTCTTGATAAATGTAACCATGAACATGTGACATGACGCAATACAACCGGCATTTTCTTTCGTTTGCTTACCATTATACAATGCAGAGTTGACCACTCCACCCACCACGGCCACACCCAAGCCCAACTGCCCCAACCTCGTCATAATTTGCGCCGCCATGTCGACTTATATGTTGAACTTGTAAATTATAATTTTAGAAAAAATTAGCAAAAAATCTTCTAAAATCTTCTAAAATCAATCTCGCACGCCTTTCTATATATCCCGGAATGAATCTCAATCTTTGTAATTTTAAACCCGGCGGGGTCACATCAGCTCAAATTTTAGTCTCACATTCATTCCAGCAGCCGACAAAGATAAAACGCAGGAGAGAGGGTCTGGAAATTTGTGTTCCAAATTTCCCGTTTTTCGGGGGTGTTCCCCACACCACACCCAAATTTGTCATCCTCCACGCCAAGAAGACACGTTTTTCATCAGATAAGGTTCAAACAATGGATTGATTGTGTCCAAATAGTGAATGTGCGTACGTGCATGTAAATGCGTAGTTCTGCTTCGGTTTAAATTGCGTATTGGGATGGTTCAAGTTTAAAGAAAGTGTTAAAATTAGCCATCATTTCCCAATATTTGAGTGAATTTAGACAATTAATAGTGACTAAAAATTTTATGAAATTTATGAATAAGGTGACCTTGAAAAATGACAATTTCTTGATAAGCGATAATTTTCCATATCCATTGTGTTCAAGTGCTTGAATCTTATTCCGAGATTTGGACAATAATTCCTCAACAAAATTCTTGTTGTGATCAATAAAATTGTGTTCGCCATAAAATTCCGACCGGATGCATGGGTTTATGAAAATTATTGTGTTTATCGGTAAGCAATTTAGAGTCTCACTAAACGCTGCCAGACAAACACCAGATGCATGTCACACATAACATTTTACACACAATTTAGTTGGTAACAACTTTTTTAGAAAGTAAAAAAAGGGTTGCCCATACGTAATCTCGCCATGCAATGTAAATATTTTGATGCACTGAAACAAAGTAGCCGAACAGGCCGAACCCAGCTTTACAAAGTTGGTTGATAAGTTAAGATCCTTCGGCTGTGGAAGATTTAACAACTCGGATTCATCGGCAATTTTAGCATCTCTTTGTTCCAGGAGGGATAAAAATTTTATGAAATTTTTCAAAAAAATAATTCCCCTGCATAAAATTCTATTCCAAATTATAAACCAAGTTCAGAAAATTTTCATTGGAGTCAATCCTCGCCGTATTTTTGCCAAAAAATGTACAATTTTCGCATATTAGTTAATTTTCCATTTATATTTCTGAATCAGACTAAAATTTCCAGCACATTAGAGCTGGGACATGTTCCCAAAAGTGAACGTTTTTCGGAACGTTTTTCTCCTTTTTTGAGTCACCGGAATGACTGAATGACTACATTGTGGTACATTGTAGGCCCTCGGAAAGGTATACGTGAGCCAGAAAGTTCTAATGCAAAAACTACGCAGTTTATATGACCTCCAAATAACATCTCGGTATTGGAAGGCTGAGCGAGATGGATGTTGACATGGTGGTTTTGCGAGTTTTCCTCTCTTTCATACTTTTCTATATTTCAGCAGCAGCAGAGGAGCAGAGGCAGAGAAGTAGTTATTCAGTTGCGATGTGAATTTGAAACAGAACGGATTGCCCTTGTTGCTTGCGTGAGATTGACCTCACCTTGCTGTTTGCCCCCTGTTTGCCCCCTCCTCGGGCCCCTTGACCTGGTGTGGTCAACGTCACCATCATCGCCACCCACACCACCGTCACACCCCCCACCACCACCACCACCAGCTGCCCACCCAGCTGTGTGTCAGTCGACTTGTCGCGAAGAACCTGAGGTGACGACCAGCCTGTCTGTCGTCCCCTTGGCTCGACGCCACACAAACGCCAGTTGATGTAAACCTTAGGGCTGATACGACGACAGAAAGACGGTTCATTAGAGAGTTGTCCAACAACAGACGGAACAACGGTCTGTCACCTCCTCTCGAATGATCGTCACCTGCCGATTTCATCATGGCAGGAAAACAGGTCAGAGCTCAGAAGGTTTAAATTGGGAATTAATGGATGATAATGATGATGATAAGAGACGTTAAATTAATAAATGAATCATGTAATTTGCATCAGGGATTTCTCAACCCTACCTCCACCACCAGCAACACCACCAATACTGCAACGTTCTCTGCCCCACGGTCAAGACCAATTAGTGAGGGAAGGACTACTACTTTACCAAGAAGAACGAACTCGCAAACTCAAGCAATTACTACTACCACTACTACTACCACTACTAGACCAGCTTACAATAGAAACCGATACGAAAATGAAAATGATCACGATGGAGGAAGAAGCAATGAAACAATGTGGCGATATTCACGACAAAGTTCAACCTTTGAGCAGCAGTTGGAACGAAGAAATGTGCAAAAGCTACAACTCACAGCGAATAATCAAGTGGATCGAAGGGACGAGGAAACCAATGCAAATAAATTTACTGCGGCTAAACATAGTTTGTAAGTTTGTACTGATATTGGATAGACTTGAATAATTTAGTGATGGTTGCGAGTCATATTTATTGATCGTGTTTTTCAATTTCAGGGTTAAAAATTCAAGTAGCGAAGATGATGAAGGTGGTACGAGCGGAGAGGAAAGACAGCAACGTCCAAATAAGCTTTTTCCTGTTCGGAGTGAACAAGACGAATTATTTCGCAAGGTTAGTGAAACATCTTTTTGAAATTCTATGCAAATTGCGTTTATTCATTCTTCCTGGATATTTATGAAAATTATTTTCATTGTCATTCTTCCCCAGGTCCGGTCAGTCTTGAACAAAGTGTCATCCGTGAATTATACTCGTCTCCGTAAACGGTGGTTGAGCCTCATGCCACAAAGTGAGGAGGAAGAGGACGATGGGGAAACCCACCTCACGATGGAACAACTCGCTGACGTTCTACATATGATCATCTTTAAAGCGTTGGATGACACAATTTACATGCATATCTATGCAGGACTCATGGGCTATGTCGTGTCCCGAAAGCCGGCCGATATTTCCATCAAGATTCGTAAACTCATCAATGCTCAGCTACATCATTTGCTTCAGAGGCTTGCCACGGATAAAGAATTGGCTCTTTTTCATCGAAGTACGCAACTCGTAGATGCCACGAGAAGGAGAAAAGTCACCCTGCATCGCTTCATTGCTGAACTGTACTGTGAAAAAGCATGTACCTCAAAGTTCCTGTATCAGAGAGTTACAGACTTGATGATTGTGAATAATTCTGGTGAGTAAAACTAATCTAAATGTTATATATTTTCCTTGTTTCCAAGTACTAACTCTATACAATTTGTGATTTTTTTCTCTAGTTGATATCGACGAGAACGTTGAATGTCTTTGTGTCCTGGTGACCTTTGCCGGTCAAAAATTGGAACAAGTAAAACAACCAATGTTGGATAACATTGTAGCAAAATTGGTTCAACGTCAGACCGAAACACCGCTCATGATATCTAAACGGATTCAATTTATGATTCTGGATCTCGTCGAAATGAAAGCGAGTGGTTGGTCGCCCCACAACAAGTGGTGGTCACCTTCAGTTCAAAGGGCACCAGAACGGGAAAGGACTCAGAGTTCTCCATCACCTTCATCTCCCACATATTCGCAAAGGAACGAGCGCGGCTTGATGACTCCACTTCAACAACAACTAACACCAGGAGAAGAATCGCCAACAAAAAAGATCATTTTGAAAAAGCCAGTAAATGATGTACCTACTCCTCTTCCGAGGTCACGAACTCGATCTGAGGGTAGTAACAGTAGTAGCGTCGTCGGATCAAATAGTAGTAGTAGTACTAATAAAAGTATTGGAGGAATTACAAGAAATAACAGTGGTGGTGGTACTTCTGGTATGAAAACGTCTTCTGTTGTAAGAGGGGTGGAAATTGTTTCAATGGCACCAACCCCAGAAAACAAGAATAGCAGTACAACAACAACTACTACTACAACAAATAGTTCTACGCCAAAAGAAGTTTATTCAATTACGTCCCACCAGTCTGGAGAGCAACAGCAAACGCAACATGGGCAACCGCAACAAGGGCAAGAAGATAATAGAAACCCGCAGCAACCGAGTCAACAAAATAAGTTAAGAACAACAACCGAGTTGACTCCTCATCAAAGCCGATCACTAATGGCATTGTTGAACAAAGTCAGTCCGCTAAATGTGGACCGTATGGCGCAGCAGTTATACGAAGAAGTCCTCACGTTGGAAAATAGTTTCGATGAAGCGGCCAATTTTATCGTGGATAAAATTTTGGATGACGCGTTTTACATCTCGTCACACGTCCTACTCATTCATCGAGTGTCTTGTAAGCCAAACATGAAGAGTTTTGGGATCAAGATCTGTGCCAGACTTATGTTTATTTTAGAGGTACGCACAAAAATTTAACCATTTATCAACTAGCTTATTTTATTATACAGAGTACATATGCTTACTTTAATTATTGTTACTTTTGTGTATGTAGAAAAATCCTGTATCAAAAGAAGGGTTCCAGCTCATAGCCGAACTGTACAAATTAAACATGATTGCATTTTCTCAAACTCGCTCTGCTTTAGAGTGGCTCATGACAAGCTGTCCCGTCGCAGCCATAAATTCAGCCATGGAATGTCTCGTCATGTTTCTGTTCATCTCAGGAGCCAAGTTGGAGGCGGATGCGAATGACCAAGTTTGGATGAATGGTTTAATCGAGTTCTGGGAAAGGAAGGCCAAATTCGTGGCGCACAATCAAGGGAGACCCCTCTGTCTTCTTCGCGATGTGATTGAGCTACGGCAGAATAAATGGGCCTCGCAACACATGCCTCACTGGATTCCACCTACCATTGATCTCCCCACGGTCCGTTTTGAACCGGAAAGTCTGATTCGCTTGTATCAGTCTGATGAAGAGGTATACCGATAGATAATTTGTTTATTTCTAGTACATCAAAAATTTCAAATAATTAAATTGATTTTTGTTTGTAGGAATTTTTGCGCTTCATCAGAGGAGGAACTTCGTCGATGGGCCGGATCGACAAATTTTGGAAGGGAGCTTTGAAATACGCTGTCGTCTATGGGGATTGGGAACGTGACCCAGAATTTTTACACATGACTGGTTCATGTCTCAAAACCCTAGTTCTGAAACGAATCCTTCGACGCGACAGAATTCACGCTTTTATTGGTTATTTCGTAAACGAGGTGGTCAAAATGGCACGAGTTCATTTCAAAGCGTGGGATAATTTCGGAGTGATAATGGGTAAGCCCGACCAAATAAATTATTTATATTGTGTATCTATCATGTTTGTATAGTGTACTAATGGATCGATATGTGAATTTAATTTAGACGGCCTGGCTCTTTTTCGGGAGGAAATTTTCTAATATCTCTACATTCGATCGATCCTTATTATAACTTCAATTAGTATTCCTTTTCTCCTCTTCTCTTCGGTTTCGGCAAGACGGAAAATGTACAAGCACTCTTTGTTCTCAAGAGGAAGACACCATGCGCATTATTAAAATTAACGGAACGGATTCGAAGACTGGAACAAGTAACTGGTTATCTATATAATTTATTCTTTAGGTAAATATTTCCGCCTATACTTTCTAAAGATCGTCAATTATATTACGGTTAATTGTATCCTAAAAAAATGAATTCTTTAAACTCAATTCAATAACATTTTGCTTAAGTAAGCATAGCATGATAGATACACAATTCGATCTAAATTAAAAACGCAAATTTAGTTTTGCACGAAAAAAAACAAACCCACCAATAATTTTAATAAGTTAAGTTAAATTTTAGACCACCTTTTTTTGATGCATGCGATGATGACAAAAGATACAAGTAAATTAATAAATTGACTGCTGCTGCCAACCAAATACCAAACCACTACCATCAAGTATATAAGTATGCATGTGTAACAAAGAAATCTACTCAAAAACTTAAATATTTACATGCTTAATAAAAGTCGGTGGTATGTAGGTAAGCATAAAAAGAAAGTAGAATTATGTATCAATAAGTATTTAATAGGTAAAAACGCCTCTGTCTTTTAAGTGATAGGAACTTATGTACTCGAGTTATTACGACCTATGTATGTAGCTTGACTTTCATCTCGACTTTTTCGGTGCAATACGACTATTTTGTCTTTTATTCACAATTCCTTTATTTGTTATTGGTGTGTTATTCTACAGTTTTTTTTTAAATCACAAAGAAAACAATAACTTTTCTTTTAATTTTGGTAATTATTATGGTTTAGAAGTACAAGTAACTAGATTAGATTGGTATTGGCAGTTACATGTAAAGGTAGATTAGGTATGTATTAGGTAACAAAAAAATAACGGTAAATGAGAGGAATCAAGTCAGCAGAATGGTTGCATTACACACATTTCATAAAATACCTGTACGTACGACTTGATAATTACTACGTTGGTGCCATTAGTTATGTGAAACATGACACATTTGTGCATGTATTATTATAAATTAGGAAGTAATCGATATAGCATAATATCACATAAGGTCTATCCGATGCAGTGATGACTAAAATGACACATGTAAACCCGATCCGATATATTTCAAAAACAAGTCAGAGATGTATCATCTCATCATCAGCTCGGACGGTACTTGAAAAAAACTTTGCTTATCTCTTTCGTTAATTATATCAATTAGTTAATTACATTATTGCCTTCATTAAATGGTACAAGATTTAGGCGTGAGCAAAAAAAAACATTGGTAATGTATATAAATAGTATTTGTATATATTTAGATATTTAAATTATCGCCATACGTCTAATCTATCTCTACTACTAATTAGATATATATACTTTAGTTTTTAATTTTAATAAACATTATTATAACCCATTATTCGGGTCAGTCGGAGGATAAAGGTCGTCCATCACCCTGCACTCTTCCAAGACTGATTATCGGTGAAATGTTGACTTTGTAAGATTAAATTGTAAAAAAACATAACATTTACATACTACCTACCTACCTGTTTAGTATATGTATTAGAAAAGGAGGAAACAAATGCATGCCGTCTCTTATTACAGAATTATTCTACTATTTGTTGCTTTGTTAAAGAGGTCAGTCTCTTCTGCTATGTTTTCTACATTTTTTGTCTCATTTTTTGTGCTAGTAATAATCATAATGATTCTGTAAAATGTTAAAAATATGGCTTTGATACATCACATACATCACTCTGCTTCTATGCTAATTCGCATTGGTTTTATTAGGTTTATTTATTGATTGGCCTATTCTTTAGTTTATAGTGTTGTTGTGATAAGCATTGTTGTTTATTATCATAATCTATGCATTTATTTCGTATAGTTTAAAGAACATTGCGCAACCACCGCTTTATCATTTTGTGACCTTCCAGCTTTAATTGGTCTTTTACAATAGTCGCAGCAATATCATCACTTACGTAATTAAGGGACAAACTAATACCGGGATTGTCGAGTCTGTATACCGTTGAGGAATTTATATAAAAAATCAATGATCTCCGTAAAAGCTCGACGCGTCCTCCCCTCCGTAGAAAAGTTAGTTATCAGGTTAGTTCTCACGTATGTATGTATGAATCTGTATTGTTAGTAGTTTGTATTTACCGTGTGCATATAACCTAAATAATTTGCTAAAAAAATTAGTATGTATCAAGTATGTAAGATATCAACGATTTATACCGGAACTCTACCGTATAAAAATAACCGCAGTGTATTCTAGTAGTAGTAAATGACGAGTGATGATTTCAAGTTTCTGGTTGATATGCATGTCTTAAATAACAACGTATCATCACAAGTAAAACTAAAAAAAAACTCACTCTAATTATAATCATTTTTCATGTTTTTTTCCTCGCTCTATATAAAATATGCGTGTACTCGTGCTAATTTTGTCTGTGTTTAGAATACATGCAAAAAAATTGGTTGTGCCAATAATAAGTAAATATCTAGTTAGATTTATAGTTAAGCATTGGATTTCTCTCTCTTTAACAAAAAAATCCATCCAACTCAGGTTTATAAAAGTTGCAAGAGAGAAAAGAAAAAAACTCAACAATCAACCAAAAAATTTGTAAAGGAATGTCGGATTATGGAATTGAATCAAGAATTGTACCTTCGTTTTTTTAATGCAGCATTATTATCATTCGTGTTACGTATGCATAATAATTAATTGATAGAAAGCTGTTAATTGTGATCGGATCGTGAAAAGCGACATTTTTATGCATTTTTTTCTTTTTTTTTTGTCAAAAATATTTATAACGGAATGATGATCACATGAAATACTTAATTACGGTTTAATAATTATTGGTATCTATCTATATCTACTCTACGTATGTACGTACTACTGCTGCCAGCCAATTAAATAATATACATACATAATACATACCTAAAACTACCTTAAAAAGTAATACCTACCAAAAAAACAACCACAAATGAATGAAAATTGCTTAAAAAAGAAGGAATCAGGTTTCGTAATAATGATTAATATAGAATTTTATTATTGTACACTGATGGATTGGTCTTGTATGTAAAAAAGTAAGAACGTAAATAAGTAACTGAATACGAGTATGAATTGATTGGACTGATTAGTTGGTAGATCTCCTTATGAGAAGAATCCCTGACGTTGACAAATTAAATGATAGTATCTGGATCTAATATTCGTTGAGAATCAATAATTGCTCTAAATTATAGTTAAAAAATCGAGAGTATTTAATTTAAATTGTGTCATCTTTTCGTGTAATTAAATAATTATACTCGTTACAGAAAATGAAATATGTAGATTAATTGAAATCTGAGAACCGTATTTACTCTCTTTATTCCTCTACGTGGAACTCTATATACTATTTAAACTTTTCCGTTTTTTTCTTTCTTTTTGATAGATTTGTAATCATTCTTTCTAACCACTTGTAATAAATGATATGTTACAATTTTACATTAATTTATTACTCTTAAAATTATTATGAAGTAGGTAACTTTCTCAAATCGAAAAGAATTTGTTAACCGAAAAAGAAAACAATTATCATGATTCTTATCCGAAATTTGAAACGTGAATAAAACAAACGTTATTGATTATTATATGAATTTTGTTTGTCGTAGCAGTTTCTTGGCATCAGTTCCAATCGGCATATCGAGGAAGAAATTGATCATATTTCTTTAAAGTAGGTCACTCGTCTACAAGATAAACAATTACATCGTTTATGGCTATCCTACATATCGTAGGACGGAAACGAACATGACTTTTTGTTGGCCGGGGTAGTTGTTTTGGATTATCAACTTGTAATGGGCCTCCCCCCTCAACAAATTCCTCTGCAGTGAGGATGCAGGTGTTCAATGGATAAAGAACCTTTCGCATAATATTTGCATTCTCACTGGTTTTGTTGTTCTTCCAAGAAATTGGGTAAAGTAAAGTATTGCAAACATGGGTTGAGCTGGATATATAAAAGAGTGGATTTTGGACCAGGTAGGAAGGAGGACATGGCATCATCATCATTAACATAATTATTTGTTGGGTGGGTGTGGAGTGTCCCATTCGGTGAGTCTTGAGCGTAAGTGTCTAAGCTGAAAGATATTATGCTAAGATTCATTGGGTGGGATGTTTCACGAGTCGACACAATTGCAAAACGCCATCATACTTGCAGAGAGACTTTAATGAATGCTTTGAAATTGTGGTCTAGTTTAACGAGGACTGTAAAGCCAAATTTTTATTAGGTTTTATTTGTGATAACTTGGTATTGCGATCAATATTAAAGTCATTCGAACTGAATTCTACAATTTATACTGATGTTCTTGATTAGAATATTGATTGAAAAAGCTTTCATTATGTATGTATGTAGACTAGTTTGAATGTTAAAAGTAAAATGTCAGGGTGAAGGGCAAACTCGAACTTTATAAAAATTCGATTCTACTTATTCAAGAAATCAATAAATTGTCAAATACATGGATAATCCAGTTCAAACCGAACCATAATGGAGGACATTTCAACTTTCAAGCATGAATATCATACATTACTCAAATCTTTTTCCATGACTCAAATATTTTCTTGAACAACGATCACAACTATTAAAACAATTATGGTGGTAATAAAATAGAAAAAAATGAAGAACTGAAACAATCCATTATCGTTAAACTGCATGAATTCCTTTATGACCTGACGCTTTCATTCAGTTTCTTGGCCCCCCTTAAACAAAACAATGAGACTAGAGTAAAAATTGTGTAAAATAAATAAATAACAAAAATTAAAGGTTACCAATGCTGATGTTGAAGCAATTGCAAGAGACATTCTCCTCTGTCGTGGATCTAATCGTTGTTTTCCACTTGGAATCTGTACATTATGACGAAACTTGAAAAACTTGTTCCATTTTGATCAATTAAATGTCACCAACCTTTTTATTCTCCAATTTGCCAAGGGCTCTGGAAATCAAGGCATTTGACGAACCCATGTATTGACGAAGTAGGACGTGAGAGACGTCTTCATGAGGAATTACAAAGAGTCGGTTCACAGTGAGGGGGTTGAATTTCTGAAAATGGTACACATGCAGATTACTGAGACTTACTTGAAATAGTTGTACGAGAACTTACAGAGATTATGCTGTTGCACTCTCGGGGGATGAGACACGGCGCAATGAATAACTCTTTGGAGTCATTGTCGACAAAATAACCTTCAATGACGACTGCATCCGAGGTGAAATCAGGCAAATGGTAGACAGAGAGCGGATTAATTGCAGGAACAAATCCACCCTCCAAGTATCCTTTAATTCTTTCCATGCTCCAATTCTATACAATTAATGTAAATCTGTTTAAATAATTTTCAAGATTGTTAAATTTATGTGCCTATTATCTAAATAAGCAATATATATACCTGGAATTGGGGCAAATATTGGCAAAGGCTGCAAGCAACCTTAAATCCCCAAGAAGCCCACAAGTGCAGGAGTAAATCATCTCCAGGAAATGACATCAAAGACGCTTGTGCAACTTGATCTAAAGCATCTGAAGGAAAAAAGTAGGCCGTGAGAAATGTTTCACATGTGACGCTCGATGATCGACACTCTTTCTTTAGAAATCCAAGCTCCCCAACAATGCCACCAGGGCCAATGATATCACTGAATGAGTCTTTGAACTCTAATTCTTCAAGTATTTCACAAATGGGAAACATTCCATATCTCATTCGAGCCTGTGCAATTAGATAATTATTATAATATATAAATACTATCTAGAAATCAAGACATGACTGAAAAATAAATCATTTTTAATTTTTATTACCATTTTCAACCTTTCTGACGCAATAAATCCAACTTTAGCCAAACCAGTGATAATCAAGTACACACCGTGAGGTAGATCACCAATTTTATAGATCGTATCACCAGGGAGAAAATTTAACAGGACTGCTTTGCTCTAAAGCACAAGGTGCATAATTAAAATTCACAATAATCTTTAGCTTCTTGACATGAATATTATACCTGGAGAAATTCAAAACTCTTTGGTTGCAGCATTCTTCGGAACCAAGACAAATTAGCTAGGAAGGTTTCGGGTGAAGACACTCCTATAATTTTAGGAAATTTATGAAGTTTTTTAATCAGGTGTTCCAAACTTAGCATCAAGATATCAGCGTCGTCGCGCTCAATTAAACCTAAAAATTATGTTGAGTGATTAAATATTATTCTCAGAAGAACGATCACAATGCAAAATAACCTCACCATCATGTCGCAAGTCCAGCAATGTAGCTTGCATTTGGTTGATCACTAGTCTCGCTGCATATCGAGACTTTGCAGCTACAGCTATTTTTTGATAACTCATTTGAAGTGATCCAAGCTGTAGAATAGTTGCGAATTTTTCTCGTTCAAGAATTCTATAAAATAATACCAAAATTGGTTCAAATCACCCAGATTAAAAAACACAAGCTTACTACCTTTTCATAAACCGAACTTTCTCCATGTCCTTAAAATCATGAAACATTTTTGGGATAAGATTCACCACTTGTTCGATCGCTGATACGAATCCTTTTCCCACTTGTAAGCTGAGATGCACTTTCTCCTTTTCAGATTCTTGCACAAAGTAGGCAAAAATGCGAGAAAATTTTAGAATTCTTCCGCATGGGACAGTTTTGCCATTTCGTTTCTCCAGACTCCACCGATTCATAACATCTGTACATGTCGGTAACTTAGATGGAGTGTCCTCAATTCGATTGCAGACTTCCAATACGTATTTTAAGACTGATCCTTGGATAACTCCTTGTTCATATTGACGACGGAAACTTATCTGATCGGAAGAGAAGAACAATGAGAAAGCTTGATTAGTTAACTAAAATTGGGAGATTAACCTGATTAATTACCTTGAAAGCTTTTAAAAGACGAAGACGATCATCTTCATTCAGTTGATTTCGAAATTCTGCCCCATTTTCAGGTTCTTCTTTCACAGAAAAATCAACTTTAATTGCGCTCGCCTTCTTCATTGTGTCCTCGATTGTATTTATTTCCCTTTTCATAGAGGGGTTCTTTTCTGTCTCCTTTTTATCTACTGGATACAACTCACTCTCGATAAATGTAAATTTCCTAACTGAATTCCAATCCGCGTTTGCATAATCAGGATGATGTCGTAATCCACGGAAATATTTACGTCGAGTAATTTCCAAGTATTGTAAGTTGTCCTCCATATCGGCCCGATGCCTTTGCGATATTGTAGTCATGTTCAAGACTTGCATCAACTTTTTTGTCGTGGTCGCATTAAGCAGCAGCGTTAGAATTACAATTCCAGCCGTTTGGAAAAGTACCTGATAAATAAAATTATCACAAATATTCCTACATAGCGTTTTATACGCATAAGCCCTAGTTTTTCTTACTTTCGGTCCTAGTTTATCAATAGTGCATAAATGTGGTTCTTCATAAACTTCGAGAGCTAAACACAATCCCACAGCCCCACGAAGACCACCCCAACTAACGACGGATAGCGTTTTCCAATCGAACCCATACCCGAATTTATGAAGAATTGGTTTCAGCAGGACAAGCATAAGGAATCTATCAAAAAAGTACTCATGCAGTTAAGTAGAATATATACCAGTATATATATGTGCATACATTTTACATTTTATACTCTACCTGATTAGAATGACAGAAGCATACAGTGCAAAAAGGTACGGAAAGTCCATCCCGTCCAAAAATAGGAACGCCTTCCTCCCAATGATCAATCCTATCAAGAAAAACAGCAACGTGTTCGCCATGTAGCCAATCACTTCCCAAAAATGGTGTAACGGAACTTCTGACTGTGGGCTGATGCAGTGATTAGCCTTCAACGTTAGTCCTAACAGCACCACGGCCAGTATCCCACTAACTCCGAGAACCTCTTCCCCAACATAAAATGTGAGATAGGCCGAGGCCAAAGTGATTGAGACTTCCACGCTGGGATCATTGAATACTTTGGAGAGACAGAATATTGTTATCTTGGCGCAGACGAAGCCAAACACGGGTCCGCCAACCCCAATGAGGAGAAACTTGAGAAATCCTGACAGCACGACAGTGCCCCACCCGCCCTCGTGGTCATTGTGAACGAGAAGTTCTTCGAAAATTTTGAAAAGAAGGACAGCAATCCCGTCGTTAAGTAGTGATTCTCCCTCGATGAGAACAGAGAGGCTTTCAGCTGCGCCCAAATCACGCAAGAGTCCGACAACGGCGACGGGATCTGAGGTACAATATTACATTGGTTTTGTTATTCGTTTACAGCAATTTTATTGAATGGCCATGTGCATTGATTTACCTGTGGCACTTATAATTGATCCAAATAAACTTGCTTCTACGAAATTCCACTCGTACTCTATGAATAGGAAAATACTCACGACTGCAGTGATAAAGGTAGAAAATAATAATCCAGGTCCAGCAAGGAGTAAAATCTGCAATTATTTTCATAAAAAAATATGGTCGAGACATGCCTAAATGAGTAATAAACCTGTGGAAGTGTCCTCCTAAAGGTGTGGATGTTGATCTCCATCGCACTCTCAAAAATGAGCACGGGAAGAAACGTGGACAAGATCAGTTGCGGTTTGAGTTGAACGATGGCTACAAAGTCGTCGAGAATGGGACAGATTTCGTCACTGAGTCGTCCCACGCCCAGTCCCACAAAGAAGATGGCAACAGTATATGGAATTTTGAGGGGTAGTCTGCCAAGGACCTCACGAACAAACGCACCCACACCAAGGATTATGACAATAGAGAGAAGTTGGATCAAGTCATTGTTGTCAAAGTCGCTTCGTTCGAGGCAGACAGCAGTTACAACTAAATATGCACATGACAATATGTAAGACATTTTTATAATCGGAGATAGTTCGTTGAGATCTTGTGTTGATGATTTTCTAACCTGAACTATTTCCTGAATGTTGACGAAGGAGTTCACTTGATTCACAAAACTGTCGAAACTCAAACGCGTCGTCGTCTAACGCAATATCAGCTCCACCTTCATCAATCATGTCTAATTCCTTGCAAAGTTATCCTTCTGCAACAAAATAATAAAAGCGTATGTGTACTCGTAGAAATATAAAATTGAACAATTTTTTCATACGATGAATATTTCAGTGTGCATTAAATTACAAAATGTTTACAGGTCTATACTTAACTAAACAATTCGTAACAATTAATTAATTCTTATCCAGCTAACACAAAAAGAATAAGAGGCACTGTTAGGTTTTATTGGCTAAATTACAAGAGATGTGAATATCATCTGCAGATTACAATATGACAAATTATTGTTATTATTTCAACTAGTAGTCACAATTAGTTTGGTTTGTCATAGGTTATCACAAAATGAGCATTGTAAAAATATTATTGTCCCGAATTATTTATTTATTCAGTCTTTAGGGAAATCCCGGACATCGCTGGGCTTGCTCTTGGTCAAGGTGCGCTTGACAACTCCCTTAATTTGTGCTTCCAAAGTACTCTTTCGCCGTCCTAAGAGAAAGACAAACGTTTTCAACGAGTCATCTGAAATTAAAATTTAATTTCATAGAATAAAATATGTACCTCCTGAACTTCGGTTAGCACTAAGGTATGGAACCGATCTTCGCCTTTCATTGGACTTTTTACTTAGCAAATGGTCGCTTTCATGGTCCTTTAGGCCCATTGCAACCCCAGGACCGTGAAGAATCACCTTATCCAGTGAAGTCTGCGATGCAGAGTCATTCAAAGTGTCCAAATGATCTTCTTGGCAAATTATTATTAGACGAGGTTCGACTGCTGAACCAGGTCTCTGTTAACGAAAACATATGGTCAATTACAGTATTCTGGCATACAGATACATGTGCTTTAATTTATTGAACCCACTTGACCAATTCTTGTCCAAGTTGGAGGAACGAGGGCAGGAGCAATGGCAACCTCCGTGGTGGTGTCGTTGATCAATTCACCTTGGATCAAAATTACCTCCTCGATGTATTCTGGCACTTCGATCGAATTGAAGTTTTTGCCGATTGGGACAACACCTAAGTTACACAAATATTTGAGCATTAAGTATTTTCAATTATTAATTTTCAATTATTAATTTTCAATTCTTGTGTTAAGCTAACATTTTACCTTGTTCTAAATGTGCTCGGATTTTGTCACTGCTCCAAGACTGTGTAGATAAAAAATATTAAATACGATGATTAACTTCCCTTTAATTGTATGGCGCATCATGATTTTTCCTAACCCCATATTGCGCCGTCGTATGAAGAAATTCCGCCGCCATCTTAATCCCCCAACTTCGCCAGAGACGACCTTCTAACGAGTCATGGGGGTCATTAAAATGACTCAATCCGTTCTCCAATATAGGATTTGACCAGAAAACCACTTCAACATCTGTTGCACACATTATTGACGCTGCACGAGGTAACTTGGAAATGAATCCGTACTCCCCAATTATACCCCCCAGCCCCATAAAATCCAACTGGGTGGAAGCAAAGGAAAAATCCATGAGGAATTCGGCATTTGGGAAAATTCCATGTTCAGTCAAATTGTTGATTATGTTTCGTGTGGGGGTGTAGCGGAGCTTAACCATGCCGGAAGTGATGAGGTAAATTCCTGCACTGCCGTCAAGCTCGTCTCCTATTATTTATATATTAATATATAATATATTTAATAATAAACGTATAAATATACTTTAATATTAAATTATAATTCTCACCTTCCATGTATGCTTTGAGAATGTGGGTCTCCTAATTAATAGGAAATAATAACATGTAAATTCAATTGAACTTTAATTTGTATTGCATTGTTTGAGAAACCTTGAAAAAAGCAATCATTTCATCATTTCCAACAAGCCAGGGCAAAGTTTCAATCATGAAATCGATACTGGAAAGTTTTAGCTTATTGGGCGATGCCCAAAGCTTTTTAAGATTGCCATCAATTTTTGAAGTTAGGAGATCAAACTCCTTCTCCTCCAAAAGACCTGGAAATAAAAATCGAATAATTGTTACAAATAAATAATTCTTACTATCGTTTAATGTTAACTTTGCCTACGTAGACGTACCCTCGAGTTTCATCGTTTCTAATTCCTCCTTCATGTATCCACAAATAGCTCTCGAAGCATGTCTCGTTTTAACCGCGACGACGACGCCGGAGTGATCCATTTGCAGTTTCAACAACTCTCGGACGGCTTCGAGTCTATCTGCGTCCAGTAAATTTCTAAATTTTCGACAGATCATCTTATTTGTGATAATTGTAGGCAGAAGTCGTAACGCGTCTTCGAGACAGCGGATATATCCGGTTCCGATGTCATATCCTAAAATGAGTGAAATTAATTAATGGACACTTGCGTAATTAATTAAAAAAATGTTTTAAACTGTGTCTACCTTTGAACAACCTAGCGTTTACACGGATTTCAATAATTCTTGTAAACTTGGGCAAAATCGGTCTCGCCCATCGCAAAAGTCGAACGAACCGGACAACTCGGATAATTTTGAAGAAGATAAGATTTTCCGAGTTAAGATTATCTGTGTCTGAACGAGTCCAACCCCGGGTTCCAATTGCGATACCAAATTCGGCGAGGGATACGAGTAGGACAAAAAAGTCCAAGAGATTCCATCGGCTGTTACAATAGTCGGTGATGCCTCGGCCAATTATCTGAGATCGGTGAGTTAAGAGAAATGATTGAAAAAGTGTAAAATCCAATAAAGCATGATAATTTTACCTTGAAAAGAAATTCGAAAAAATAAATAGTAGTAAAAGTAATTGTAGAAATGAAAAGGAAATCTCGTTCCTGTAGAAAAATAAAACATTAAAAATTGACGTGTCATAAAACATCTTAGGTGCACTTTATATTACCGGTCCAGGCTTTGCCTCTCGGTTAGTTGCGAGTAACACAGTTTCGAAAATGATCGGGGCCAAATTTACAAAAATTACCTAAATCCAAATGTAATTGCTTAGTCGTTCACTACTAATTTTGATATAATTACTGTTTTGTTACAAAGTAAATTATCCCGTGGAACCACGGCTGAGTCGTTAACCAATAGAAGGGATGTCGCCATCTTAAAAGTAAATTAATTTGGAATATTAAGCACTGCATGTTATCAAGAAGTAGATAAGTATTATTTTGTCGCATTGTGATTTCCCCTACTTCGCCTTTGGTTTTGTGGGTTTCACTTCTCCTGTCGTCATTTCAATAATTTTGTTCCGCAACCAAGCGATAACACCCTTAATTTCCCAGTGGTCGTTCAAATCCTTGACATGAATCATTTTCAAGTGCATGTCCTCTTTGGCTTCGATTGCACCGACTAGGACTTTGACACCCTCCTCGCTCAGAGCTCCCTTCTCGTATTGTGTCCAGCATGAGATCTTCATCGACTTCAAAACACGACTTCTACTCTCTTCCATCAGTTTCTTGGCCTCGGGGTCGTCCATGTCCAAATGATCGTCGTCACTGTCTGACCCAAATTCCTAATACAAAAAAAAGTTAGTAAAAACGCTCATATAGATTTTTTCGACCATAATTCGCAATACATTGTCTAGACCAGCGTCAACCGCAAGTAAAGTTTTTGATGAAGATGACGGTGTTAATGTAGTTGGTCGCTTAATCTTTCCTTGATGAATGAGGAGTAGTGAAGGCTCTGACTTTAGTTCGATGATAGGTCTGTCCGCCGCGAGTTTTTCATTAATTGGCACGTTTGTAGAGCTCTGAGTAAATTTGAGGCGAGCAGAACTTAAGAATCCACCAGTGATGAGTTTCTCATTCAAAATTGCGGATGCATCAATCAAATTTTCTGCCTTGTTTTCATTCTGTTGTTTTTGAGCTGCGGCGGCTTCTTTTTTAGCGTTTCCCTTTTTCGTATTCTAACAAGAATGACCAAAATAATATTTTCTAAATTTTGCATAAATTTTATTAAACAACTCTTACTACATACATTAGCATACGGGTCTTGTATGTGGGTAAAACGGTGAACGATTTCCCAATTTGCATCCGCTAAGAAGCGATCATGCTTCAAAGCAATGATTGTCCGAACTCTGGCGGCCGTAAGATTCCTAACGACATGTGCCATATCATGCAACTTTCCCAAACTGAGGGTTGTGACACCCAGATAGTCGAGGAGGGACTTGGTCGTCGAACCGTTAATGATCAAAGTTAATATCACAATCCCAGCCGTGTGCAGTAAGAACTAGAAGACGACAGGAAACTCAGTTTAATTAAGTTACAAATTTTTACAATCATAAATCATCAATTAGGGAGATTATGAATTTCTCACTTTTGGCCCAACTCTAGTATACATGCAAATCTTCTTGCTTCGATAAACTTCAAGTGCAAGGCAGACGCCAACAGCTCCACGAAGCCCACCCCTAGAAAAAACATGAATTTAAATAACTGGAAAGTGAATGCTAATTGTTAACAAACAACTAACCACATCATAACAGTCAGATTTTTCCAATTTGCATCATATCCGACGCGACGGAGGATAGGGCTCAAAACGAATAGCATGACCAGTCTGGAAAATCAACCAACCAACCTATCACTTTTTAAATAATAATATTTTACTTATTTTTATCACATGAAACACCTTACCTTATAAGATTAAGTGTAATATAAAGTCCAATTAAATTTAATCCATCCTCGTTTTCAAAGCTATTAATGGCTGTTTCTGAAATAACGATACCGAGGATGACAAATAGTACAGTATTTGCCAAAAACGACATCATTTCCCAAAAGATGTGCATTGTATGCTGTAGAAAATAAATAAGTATTGTATTTACGAGAGAACAATAATAATAATTTTTGCATTAATAAGAACTACTTACCATCACTTCGGGACTGATACAGGTGCTCCCTGCAACAGCAAAATTCATAAATACGAAGGTTTGAAATTAGCTTCGTAGTTCAGCACTTTACCAGCATTAATTGTTACGCCAAGTAAAACGACAGCCATTACGCCAGATACTCCTGAGGAAATTACAAATTAAATTACAAATTAAATTCCTGTCGTAAGTAATGCATTAAAAGATCCACCAATTTAGTTTACTTACCCAGGTAAAACTCGCCTACAAAATAAGTGAGATACGCTGCCACTAACGTAATAGTAATTTCTGTTGCAGCATCATTAAAAATCTGTGGAATTCATATTTAAGTTAATTAAAAAGATCTATCTATTAAATAGAGAATTTCTCAACTAAATCTTTTTAAGCGTTTATAATATACCATGGTCAGACACCAAATTGCCACTTTTCCCATTGCATATCCAAATGTTGGACCTCCAATTGCAATTTTTACAAAGGTTATAAAAATATGGTAAGGATGTCCACTGACATCCGGGTCTTCGACTGCTTCCTTCAAAATGTGAAAGAGAAGAATGGCCACACCGTCGTTCAACAAGCTTTCACCTAAGAAATATTTTATTAAAAATAATAATCGACCAAAACTTAATAATATTTAGTAACTGAACCTTCAATCATGACGCTTAAATTTTCCGAGGTTCCCAATTCACGTAAAATTGCCACAACCGCAACTGGGTCTAAGTTGACCAATGAATATTAGTTGATCTAATTAAAAACGATATGTTTCGTATTACCAGTAGCACTGATAATGGCACCGAATAGCCCAGCCTGTGCGAAGGTCCAGGCATAACTTGCCATAAATTGACGGCAAGCTAACGCTGTGAACAGAGTGGATAACAACATTCCTGGTAATGCGACGACACTAATCTGCACCACAAAAAATATAAATCTTAATAAAAGCTATGCGTTTTTCAGACGCGTCACAGCTTTAGCAACTCACCGAGAGAAAGTTTGTCATGAAAACGTGCGATTTCATGGAGAAGGCTGACTCAAAGATCTAGAAGAAAGATCGCATATGTAAATATTACCACCACCACCACTACCATCACAATAAATCCAATTATATTACTCACGAGAAGTGGAAGAAAAATGTACAAAATCAGTTCCGGAGGCGTCCTCGCAAACTTTGTGAACATTGACCATGTTTCACAAAAGTGGGCGTCTACTCTAGATCCTAAACCGAGCACGAGCCCAGTAATGAGTAGAACGACGGTGTACGGGATGGACAACTGGAACGTCTTGATCACTGTTCTGACTGCCCCACCCCAAGCAATCGTGGCAAAGAGGCTGCAGTAGACTTTCAAGTAGTTTGCATTCATTCGGGCACATTGGCTAGCTACAAAGAGAATAAGTACATTAGTCTCAAGATATCTATTTAAAAATTCCAATCAAAACTGTGTTATTTACCTCCTTTTGCATTCTTTTCACAGAAATCATCCGTGTGAATCATTTCAAATTCTTTGATAACTTGTCCAAAGATGAACCTCCGCCCGTTCATGCTGGCCTCGGTGAAAGTCATCCAGCCCGTCAACACAAGAAGGATGACGGACAGGACCCGTTTGACCCATGCGTCGAGACGCATCTTCCCCAACTCTCAGTTCTTACAACACTAATTTGCAACTCAAAAGTCTTAAAAAAGCCCTCTCGTTAGAATACGGTTCAATTATTTTGCATGTCTCGTCGAACGTATCAATCTTGTTATTCAAATAACATCCTCCAAAATTACCACGTCACCAGGTCAACGGCAAGAGAAAGTGGTCCTTATTCCACTTTCACTTCCTGTGGCGAACTGTTCCAAAAACACACCTGTCTTCCTTCCTGACCAACAAAACAACCTACCCCTTCTTACCTCCTGTGCATAAGTACGTACACAATGTGTCACTCACCTATTCATCAGCCAGGCGTACGTACATACATGTGCATTATTGACTTTCTCTCCATAATGCAATTCCAGACTAATAGATAGAAGTTCATAATCCTAAATTCTTCCGTCACTCATCAACCTTGTACATGGAACAAATTGGTAATCTAATCATGCATGGCTCACTTCTTCATGAAATTTTAATCAGCATACATCACTTTTCCAACCACTTTGATGATGATGTACACCCACCTTTCATTTTGGGACAGCAAGGTGAAGAAAAGTTGAAGGGTATTTTTGCTGGCGAGTAATTGATTTCTGAAAATAGTCTAATGGAATGACGACCAGCCAGCTATGTTGATGAGGGACAGGTACACAAGTAAAATGAGTGATCCTACTACATGACTAGTGACTACAAGGAAAGTTTTGCTTTCAACTTTCACCACCACCACCGATTCACTATGCAACACTTATTGCCTTTCAATGTACTTAGTGTGACTGGAATGGTCATAATAAATGATTCAACAGCAACTGACTACAACCACTATTGTCGACGAGAGAAAATTTCATGTTTAGAAAGAAATTACAACGAATGGAATGAATAACGTATAAAAAGTTGGCAGTGATGCAGCTCTCTGTCAATACTGACCACTCCTATTACCAATCCAGAGCATACACAGAGCAATAATATGGTAATAACTACTAGAATTTGGGTCAATTGAAAAAAAACTGTTGAATGCTACTCTTTCAGACGGACAATATGCTAATAAAAAGTGCAGAAAGACATAAAATGGGTAAGAAAACCTTGTAATTATTCAACGCCAATTAAACACGTGGAAGGAGAATGCCAGCGATGAGTATAAATTGCAAAACAACGGGTGACGACGGGGGTGAGATTTCGAGGTCTAATTAACGAATCAGAACTTATAAATGAGGAATTATCGGTTCCTGTTCTAATGTTCTAATTGCTCGTTCCAAGGTTTCCTTTGTCAAAGTGCTTAGTACAGTTTATAGCCGGGGAAATGTCAATCAATCATCCAAATGAAATGTCAGGAAAGTACAGTCATCGTTCCAAGAATTTTATATAACGATTTTCTTATTCAAATTGATTAGGTCAAAACATTTTTTCCAATCTAGAGAGGAACATAAAATGAGGTACTCGCACAACATTAGGAAAATCCTGCATAATACAACCACAACCGGTATGAGCGTAGGTTTAATACATAAATACGTAACGTGTATGGATGACTGAAAAAACTGACTAAAAAAACTCTATTACACTTTTAACGAGAATCATATTTCATAATCTCTAAAACAGTTAAATACTTAGTATGTGAAAAATCCAATATACCCCTCATAAAAGATATGAACGAAGCATAACAAAAAATCAATAGAACAAAAAACGTCATAAAAAGCGTGGTGGCATTTTATAAAATCAGGAGATAAATGCTGCTCGAATTGATTCCTATGCGGTATCCTTACAATTTAAGCTTTTGCATTCACATCTGAATGGAAAGTGTTCCACAGTTTGGAACTGAGAATGGAGCATTGTGTAGTCGAATGTCAATTCTTGCTTTGATAAGATGTCAGTTTTTGCAAAAAAAGCGAGTCTCGGTGCAACAGAATTTACAAATACTTTCACCTGGAAGAATGAAATGCATTGAAAATATTAAAATATTAATAACTTTACATATCAAGGTCATCAAAATTAGCTCACGGGAAACAGGTTCGGGTCACAAGAGTGGTTTATAAATCTCGACACGTTTCCAAACTTTCCACAATCGATGTACATTTCTGACTCCGAGTCAATCTTGAATTGATAGAGAAATGACTTATCACTCTTCATCCTGTTTGAGGTCTTGAAATAATCTGCAGAAAAGATTTCTCCGGCTAGTTCGCTAACAAATTCATTTCGTACAATATTTTGCAACGTGCGAACTCCCCATCCTTTTGAAGCAGTCGCGCCTGTCCGAAAAACTTGCAATTGTTTCGATAGTCCTTTCTGTACGACGCGATTCTGACACTTTTTGGCATTGCAAGGGCATAATTTTCCACATTCGTACAATTCGAAATCATCCACGGGCAAAGATGTTCGTTGTTCTGGCAGCAGGACACGGCCACTCGCTTCGTAACAAAGTCTAACTCCGTTGGTACCTGGGGCGATTTCGTAATGACTGCACTTTTCAAGGGAACCAGATTCACACCCTGTTTTGGAACAGTCACAGCGGTGGGGAGTTTTTAAACGGGGGTTGGAGGGATAGATGGGCTCTGTAATGTAGCTGAAGTCTTTTCCATATGCGAGGGTCGCCGAATCGAAATGGTTCACGCAGGGAATAGCAAATCTCCTTTCATAGCCGAGAGAGAGGTCCCTGTGGATGAAAAAATATTTAAATATGATCAACGCACAATTAATTATTTAGTATTATGCATACTCAAGGATAAATAAGCTTGGGGAGTCCATGAAATTTCTGAAGAGCCTGACATTAGTCCGTAATTTGTTCAGAGTTTTCCGTAAATCAGAGGGACACATGTCAATAACAGATTTTCCTTCGGCATTGCGAATTGATGGTTCGGCCCCAGCAGTAAGCAAGACTTCTAACATTTGTATAGGCCGAAACTGAATAGTAGATACAACGATGTGCCTAACCAACCAATAAACAAACCATAATCTTTACTGATTAACATGAAATTCGAATAACTGAACCGTATTTATTACATTGGAGTGTTTCCGTCATTATCCTGGGCGTTAGTATCAGCTCCAAGACCTATCAAAGTCATCATGACCTCCACGTTCCCCTTAAATGCTCCCCAGTGTAAGGCAGTTCCTCCATAACTGTCCACAATGGATACGATTTTATTCAGAGACATCTGAGAAATCAATTCTGCCAGGAACGTCACCATGCGATTTGAGTTAAACCGGCACGCCGTCGCCAGAGGTGTGCATTTTTTGGCATCTTGAACTTCCAATAGGTCCAAGCATTTCGGCAAATCCAGAGCTTTGGCTCCCAACACGTTATCATCTTTTGCCATCATGTGCAGACAGGTCATTCCATTACGGCTCATCTGGATAGGAAAATTTTGATTTTGGTACCAATAACAATAAAAATATATGGTGAAAATAACCATCTTAGTTGAAATACCTTGACATACGGATCTGCTCCTACCCCCACCAAATATCGGACAATTTCTGACTTGTCATAAGCCGCTGCCAACATTAGCGCAGTGCACCCAAACTTGTCCCGGAGATTTAATTTAGCTTTATAGCTACACAGAGTGTGTACTAGATTCAAGCTCCTTAATTCCACTGCTTTCATAAGTAGCGTCAACCCCATTGTGTTTGCAATACACGTATTGACGTCAGCTCCAGCTTCTATAAAATCAAAGCTTGTCAAAAATTTACTGATTTTAAAATCGAAAACTGGATTCACTTACCAAGAAATGCTGTAATTCGAGTCACATCGTCACAACTGTCTTCCGTTTCAATTAATTCATTTCCGATCTGCTGGCCGAGTTGCTTTGAGGTTAGATTTTGATTATGTTTAATAATTGTACTCAAGTTTGAAGAGCGAGGGTTGCTTGGCCCAAATTGTAATTCCACCGGTTTAGTGACACACTGTTGTTCAGAGAGGACAATGGATTTATCGGGAAGAGACCTGCTTATAAATAAACACATTTATTTTTAAGAAGTCCCCATAATATTTACTGTATAAAACTTACGATGTGCGGGGCTTGACGACACTGACTTTTTTATTGTTCTGCTGATTCAAGGCCAGGGGAGTTTTGACCAGGGGCAGTGAACGTGTATCTCGGCCCGTCCAAAGATCTATATTCAAATAAACGTCTTAATTTTCCAGTCAATAATTGAGTTTAATTTTCTTTATCTAATTTTGTGACTTTAAGTGTTTCTCCATTTGTAAAGCAAACAAACCACAGTAAAACTGACGCAACAAGAATTTATGATAATGTAAATATGTCCCTCACTATTAAAAAAAGAAAAAGACTGGCATGATTAAGAAATTCTAATCATTTTATTACCCTTGCATTTTGAACTTTGTCGTCGTCTGGCTTGTCCATCGGTGCGTTTCCTCTTCAAGGATGACGATGACCCATTAGACTCCTCCTCCATGGCTAATTTCGGCAAGTTTAACTGCAAGACAAAATATCGCCAGTAAATAGATTTATAAAATTAACTGCTCAAATAATTAACCCACCTCCTCTGACTCCTTGAGAACGTCACTGTTCGTCACCCCAGCCTGACCCAACGGTGTCCAGTCCACATCCTCGCCGCAATCGATCAATAACTTTGTCGAAATTCTCCTAACTCGTTTACTCGTTCGAGCAGAAGAATCATCGTCCCTTCTCTCGCTTTGACCCTCAACATTATGATTAGTCTGCTCCGTTCGAATCATATTTAATGTTTTTATTTAATGTTATTTAACGAGCAAAAGAATCAAATATTTCAATTTAAAATGCTCTATTCAGTTATAGCAAAACTTGAAAATAAAAGGTGCCCAAGACTCAGCTTTTCGAAACCCTGCTCGCTATATTAAAAATTAAAATTATGATGTGACAATAAAAATTAATTTTTTATAGATTTTTTTTCGAAGGACTCGAATTTGCAACAACATATGATAAAAATAATGAAGTGAGACTCTGAGACTGCAGAGATGAGTGGTGGGAGAAGACCGGCCGGTTAATTTCGTTATTTTTTGTGTTTTTTGCACTGCACTGCGTAAAATTAAATTGGATCACATTTTTTATGTTTAAATCTCTAAAAGAAGGAAGTATTATTACAAGTAACGCAGCAGCAAGAAGATCATTGCACCACCACAAAACCACCGTACACTAAAACCACAAACCGGTAAGAAAGTCTTGTCTTGTCACGAACCAGTGACCACGACCCGACTTCCGTCCGTCAAAGAAGTGTTACTCTTTCTTCTTCACATCTGGTAAAGAAATTTTATGAATTTCAAGTCAGGAATTTAATAATATTTGAATTACTATATAAGATTTTAGTGTGACGATGGCCGTCCCTGCAAAATTCCTGGTAACTCAGCTCTCCGATGAGAACTATAATTCTTATTTGTGCGAGAAAATTCAAGAAATTGCGAATGAGGCAATTTCATCGAGAGGTGTTTTTCTCTTGGGGGTGTCAGGTAAGTAATATAATTAATAATGTTGGTTTAAATTAAGGGTCATGTTATTATTGCATTATCAAAAGTTGGTGGTTAATTAGTCGTGTAATTTTTTTTATTTAGGGGGGTCCATTATCTCCATTTTGGCGGAAGGTCTCCCAAAACTAAATACGGATTGGACCGCGTGGAAAATATTTTTATGTGATGAGCGCCTCGTTCCTGAGGACGATAGCGAATCGACATACGGACAATACAAGATAAAACTGTTTCCTACACTTGCATCATTTCCAGAAGCCAACTTTGTCGCGGCGGACTGTTCCTTGGCCGGGGTTGAAGCGGCGAAGGACTACGAGGCAAAGTTAAGAGCTTTGTGGACCGAAGAAGAGAAAAATAGTCCTTCTTACGGGATGGCGGATTGTCTTTTGCTTGGTGTTGGACCTGATGGACACACTTGCTCTCTATTTCCTAATCATGCCGCTCTGAGTGTTGGGGATTGTTGGGTAACGAACATTGAGGATTCGCCAAAACCTCCCCCTGCCAGAATCACGTTGACCTACACGTTCATCAATAAGGCGACCAATATCTTAATTGCGGGGAAAGGGAAAGAAAAATGGGACATTTTAGAGGTGGGTAATCATCATCACATGAAATTAACTATTTTTATATAAATTTGATTTTAATTCGAATCAATAATAATCAATAGAAAGTGCAAAATGGTCAAGATTTCCCCATTGGACGCGTCGATAATCCAGGTGGTCATTTGGAATGGATTCTAAATGACGCCAAATAAATTTTCTTAATTATGAATATGCGCTCAACCAATGTCCAAAATTGCTCCCTTAGTTAAATATTATCAGCACAAGGAACACATTTAAAAGTCAAGTTACCGACGAACGAAACCAAAGAAAAATAGTTAATTATTTCAGAAAACGATAAATATGTCATGTAAAATGTTTGAGATAAATGATGATTATTGTAATTCTTCTGGTGATGGTTGAAACATATCTGCTTTATTTAAGATAATTAGCAATCAGTAATAAATTTAATTTCCCACTTGTTGCAATTACTCACTCACGCAATAGGTATTTTTGGTAGTACATTCGCAATACAGAAATAAAGAAGATTTAAACATGTATGTCAATCTAACGATTGTTTAAGAATAAATGATAACTTAACGTTTAAAAATGTTTGAACAATTTTCTTCCATTTGCATACCAAAGTGTTAAGGAAAACGTAGTTTTAACTAGAAGTTACTCTGCACCGGCAGTCGCTACGGTAGCTTCAGCATGAGCATAGAATGGTCCTTGATGAATGTACAGCTTCAACAATGCCATGTTCTCCGCCGACAGTATTTTTGCTGCAGATGGTGAATCCACAATAATTTGGACCAGCCGGAACTTGGCATAGACACACTCTTTCACAGGTTCAGGATTACGGCTGGTTAAAAACTCGATAACACCTGCAGAAAAATATAGTTTCATAATTTGAGTCATTTTCACTAATAAATAGACAAGATAACAAACTAGAATAACTGACCGGCTCCTTTGAGGTAATGTCTTTGTGCCCATTCCAAATGTGCTATGCTCGAGAGAAAATTCAGTGCTGCGATTCGCATTTCAGGGAATGGCAAACGTACCAAATCCATTAATTCTGACATATCGTGAAAAAGGATATTGAACCAGTGGGGGAGGCAGTCTTCATTTGCTTCCTAAGCATTAAAGTTAAAAATACAATAATACATACATAACTGGAAACAAATGGAAAGTCAATAAGTAAGACTAATTTGCATACGTCAGATCCAAACAGAAATGACATCGCTTCCAGTCCACGCGTTCGAGATTCGGTAGGAGCAATCGACAAGAGTTCCCGAATCAGTTCGAAATATTTCCGAATATCTATATACAAGCAGAAATTGACATTAGACGTTCATTTTACTAAACCAAGTATTTACATTTTTGCTAATAAATTACTTAAATTATTAGCAATTACTTGGTAAGTTTTTGTAGTACTGTTTGCCTTCCACCGTTCCTCCAATGTGGGCGAAAGCCTCAACTGCGACAGTCTTAAGTGGAAAGTTTATCCCACTCTGAAGGATCGTTGTCATCACGAGTGCTGTCATTTCTGTTGGTGGCAACGACACAGCGCCCACTTTTCCGATGAACTTAATAATTCCTGGAAGCAGGATTTCTCCATGGGGCTCTGTTCCTAGTGACTCTGTGAGAGTCTTAATCTCTTGGAATACTCCAGCAGTCTTCAACGCCTCCTGACCATGTGGACACCCAGCCAAGTTTGCCAAGATCTCAATAGCGTTAATTTGTCCCAAGAAGTCGTCCGACTTGAAAGAAAGCGTGATCAACAAGTTCATCAGTCCGACAGAGGTGTTCAAAGTGTTGAAATGGTCCGCAGACAACGTCGAAATGTTGGTAAGGACTTCATAAACTCGAAACTTTTTAGTTTCGCTGATTGATGGTTTCTTGTTCAAAAGGGCGTTGAATGTATCGACTGCTTCCTGGCTCAAAAAGTAGTCTTTTCCTGACTTTGTCGTCCCATACTTCATAAGGAGCTTGTCCGCTTCCTTTGCTGCATTCAACTCTTCCGACGCAAGCTGACCAATGACGGCGACTCTCAGGTTAGGATACTTGTTTAGAGAAGATTCATCCACCTCGATACAACGAGTAAGCTATAGAAATGACGTAAATTTTAGCATTTCAATTTTGTAAACCAATTATAGTTGGAAAATAAATTCAAAACTGATGCGTACATGTGACATAATCAATGCAGGAACTTCTGGCGCATCATGACTAAATCCTTGCGTGATGGACTCGTGATACTTATCCAGACAAGCTACCGGATCAAGAACGGTCATCAAATTTTTCAAAATGTCGCACGTGGATTGGATTTGTTCTCTAGATAAGAAAGCAAGAATGAATATTGCATCATCGTTTTCCCTTAATTTATACAATTAATTGTTACCACTCACGAGTTATCGGAAACCAAACAACCGAACAAAACCTCCAAGTTGAGATTGTTCATGTGTTCCATTAGCTGAGCCCTGGACAGGGTACCCATCGCTAATTTCAGGTTGGTCAACAGCTCCATCCGGGCCTTATCATCCGCCACGGTTTCAATACTTCCAAACAGCTTCTCCAAAATCGTTCCGGTTTCGGCAGTGGAACCCATTTTTAAATGTTAAACTGCAGCTGAAAAACGATACAAAAATAATTTTACACTAAATTTTACGACAGGAAATACAAAATCCGCTAAAAATTTACCTTATTCACAGTGGTTAAACACAAATATTATTTAACGCAGGTTAAAAGTTTGAAAATTTGAAGTTTGTGAGAAAAATGCAAATAATAATATAATTAAACTTTTAACTATGAGCTCAGCAACTTTGACTGATTTTCAAAAAAACACACTCAAATGATTTGAGTCAAATCTCTGATCAGAAGCACGTACGCGAACTAAAGTTTTACCGGCTGCGTGCTTTGTCTCACCTCATCTTTTCTCATGCATTTTTGTCTGCATGTCTTTTCTCGAAGCGTTGCCCACTGTCTAAATTTTTTCATGAAAATAAAGTCTATATAGCTTGTTTTATGATCTACTTTTACTAATTTTTTTAGCCCAAACCAGGGCTTATGTAATCATCATGCGTTCGTCCGTCCGTCTTTCGATAGCTCTAACAGGCATTTCTGGACCAACTTTGACCAAAACGCTGGGCAATGCATATGCAACAACCGAATTTGAAGATGTGGGTCAAATTAGTAGTATGTAGGTGTGCTGCATATCAATTTTCACAAAACTCTGGTTGATTTTGCATTGAAATCAATTTCATAGCACCTTTTCACACTGAATGCCAAAACATTCACGAATTACTTGTCGTCAAGTTAAATCGGTAACTACAAAGTTCAACTAAATTTCGACAGAAGTCAGACTCTCGTTCTGAGAAATTTTCAATTTCCGCAATAATAAATTTTACACGGTCGATCCCACTCCCATCTAAATTCTCAGTAAATCAAATTTCTAAATTCATACCCACCCAATCCAACCTCAGAAACAATAATGTCCTTCAACAGCAGCCTCTTCAACGGATCAATTCCTAATAACCAAGATGGATCCGGAAGTTTGCACGACTCTCGCAACATGTCCATACAAAGTATGACCCCTTCTTTTCTGAGCAATTTAATAATAATAATTAATTTAATTGTATTACATAGTTATTTATTTCCTAACAATCGTATATATGACTAATCTATAATCAATTATTCTTCAAATTATTTAACCAATTATTGTCCTACATTCATTTCTACTCTAAAATTTAGGACCCATGTACACCCGCGACGCAAGTTTGCCCCCACCGGAAGGGAGTGGACTTCCCGGCACCGTCTTAAATGAGCTTCATTACTTCATCGACAAACTTTGCGACAAATTAAAGATAGAATTGATCGAGTCTAAAATCCCAATGATTGCGGACGCATATAAAGAAGTGATACAAGATATTATCACATTTTATATAGAATATTTGATAACTTCGTATTGATTTTTTCAGCAACTTTTGATCAATCGAGTTCCAAGAATTGTAGTGAATAAGGTATGTGTCTAATTTGCAAATTTTAAATACGAGCTCGTAGTAGCTTAACTTAATACTATGCAATTGTAGGTGGTACAGAACTTGGAAGAACTAATAATGGAAAAATTGAAATCAACCTTGCCTTCCGTGGTCACGGAGGTCTTGATAGGAAAATACGGTCCTGCAATCAACAACGTCGTGAAGGCTCTAAAGGATGGAAATCTCGTCTGTAGCAAACCCTGCATTTGTGGACAAACAAATAATTCACAACTGAAAGATAGTTCTCAAGATGGTTCGCAAGAAGCAGAAAAATTTCCGGAAAACTGTATCAACACGTGTCCATGCATGAGGAAAGCACAATTTGTGGAAAGGAGTAGAGAACCCGTGGGGGGAAGCCGTGGGGGCAAAAGTTGTTCGTTTAGGAGGAGAGATCAAAGTGCAGAAAGAAGTTCGGTAATAGAACGGCGGAGAGAAGATCTTTTAGAACAGAAGAGAGAAGCAAGTGGACAACGGAGGGCAGCAGAAATTATGGAACGGAGGAGGAGACAACAAGAAGAACGAGATGCAGAAGACAGGAGACAACAAATTTCAGAAAGTAGAAGAGAACAATTTCCGCAAGACTGTATCAACACGTGTCCATGCACGAGGAACAACGCCGCGTGTTCCATGCCGTCCGCAGCATCTCGAAACAGAAATACATAAGTAGAACTGGAAATGGAAGCAATTGGACGAGCGCCCCAAACAGCAACAATTAAAGCAATTCCCCAAAAACTCAGGGGGTCGTTGAGCGCTTAAAATAAGAAATTAAAAATAACAGTAGTACATACTTTTGTCGTCAAATTCTTGTATCATTCTTCTGTAGTCCTAATTTTGCAAATTTAGTCAAATATACTAATAGAAATGGCCAAGCAAAACCAAGTTTCGAAATGATTTACAATTTAAAAATATTTATTTAAACACAAACACATTAATGAAATATAGACATTGCATCACATTATCTATTTGCATGTTTCAAAAGCACAGGCCATAATTTTCGTACAAAATATTTTATTCATGCAACATAGCTATTATAAGTTCATTTTCTAAGTTTTATCATAAAAATTGATAACATCAAGTACTATAACACTTATGTAACACTTTAGGACCTTGGCTAAAATACATATAAAATTTTCTTTGGGAGTAGAGAAAAAATATTTTTTTTCTTGATTTTTTGTTGCCATGCTTTCGCTCAGCTTAAGTTTTTCTCAGTCTACGCCTGAATCAGATTTCTCCATAATTTTAGTTTTGTCAATCCTGAAATTTTCACAACAGGGCAGCCCTTCGCCCCCCTTGTTACCCAAAATTATTAGTGTCATCAAAATTCTAGTATCTTAAGCGTCACGTCACGACGCGGTCACAAGGAGATCACCAAAAATGGCATCTCCCTCATCTTCAGCATTGACCGACCCCAGCCCACCTCGAGTGCTGAATGCGACCCAGGCAAGAGAACAGCTGGCACAAACGGTCGAGAAAAGTTATGGGGCCGAAGTGACGATGGACGACATGAGCCAACCCCACAATCGAAGTGCTGGCAGCAGCAGAGGAAATCCATTTTCGCAATATCCAATGCCGTTTTCACCCGACTCTTCTTCCGCCGCTCGGAATAATTCGAATTTTCAACCGATCTTATCGTCGACCCCGAATCGTACCATGAACACGACCAATCCCATCTTGGATTTCAGTAATTTGCGACCTGGCACAGCCCCCGGGAATTTGGATTTAACGATGCCTCGACGCCTCCCAAACGCCACTTTCGACCGCCCAGCAACCGCAGACCTAGCGCTTGAAATATCAAGAGGCGGGGGTGGAAATAATCCAAACGCGACATACGACGCCAGGAATCCAAATGCGACATACGACGCTAGGAATCCAAACGCAACATACGACGCCAGGAATCCAAACGCGACATACGATGCTGGGAATCCAAATGCAGCTGGGGGAAGAAACATGAACGAAACGTATGCTGCCCCACAACACTCGCCCCCACCTCAATTTATGCACTTGAGAGGTTATGGACCCCAGGAAGTTAATCCAGTCTGGATGCTGGACAATTCATCCGATTATAGAGCCGCTCAACCACCGACGGGGCAGAGTCTGAGTCGGGATGACTATGTGTACGGGACTGACTATGGTTCGTAAAATATTATGAGGAACCGATACACATGTTTGATTTTAATTGATATGAATTATTCTTAATAAATCCCAGATTCAAATGATTGGGATTCGAGTATAGACCCCTTCACTTCAGCAACTTTTGACGGGAGTTATCGGAATTACTTAAGTTATACTCCGCCAGTTTGGCCAGAACGCCAACAAAAAGTCCGCCCACCCGGGCCCCCACCACCGCCACAAGGTCCACCTCGCAGACCAATGGGTCCACCCCCACCACCACCACCACAAGGACCATCAGCCAGGCCAATGGGTCCACCCCCACCACCACCACCACAAGGACCATCAGCCAGGCCAATGGGTCCACCCCCACCACCACCGCCACAAGGACCATCAGCTAGACCAATGGGTCCACCCCCACCACCACCACCACAAGGACCATCAGCCAGGCCAATGGGTCCACCCCCACCACCACCGCCACAAGGACCATCAGCCAGGCCAATGGGTCCACCCCCACCACCACCACCACAAGGACCATCACCCAGACCAATGGGTCCACCCCCACCACCACCACAACCTCAAAATTTAACATACGGCTCCAGTGCCCCCAGCAGCGGATCAAATCCATTCTCCCAATATCCGGACTTATCATACGGCTCCAGTGCCCCCAGCAACGGATCAAATCCATTCTCCCAATATCCGGACTTATCATACGGCTCCACTGCCCCCAGCAGCGGACCATCTCCCAGACCAATCGGTCCAACCCCGCCTCCACCACTACCACCTCAAAACTTAACATATGACCCCAGTGCTCCCAGCAGCGGATCAAATCCATTCGCCCAATATCCGGACTTATCATACGGCTCGAGTGATAACAGCTATTTCGGAGGAATACCACTCCATCAATATCCAGACTTATCATCCGACTCTAGTGCTCCCAGTAGCAGCTTACCATTCTCCCCATTTCCAACCTTATCATTCGACTCTAGTGGTACCAGCAGCATACCGAATCCGTTCTCCGGCTCTAGTGCTGACCACAGCAGGGTATATCAATCCTCCCAAATTCCAGCCTTATCCAACTCCAACTATTCACCCACAAGATTCCTTGAAAATCCAAGCAACTGGACACTCAACCCCAACTATTCACCCACAAGATTCCTTGAAAATTCAAGCAACTGGTCACCCAGACCAAGGGGTCCACCCACAAGATTCCTTCAAAATTCAAGCAACTTTTCACCCAGACCAATGGGTCCACCCACACCGCCCCCACTACCACCACCACCGCCAGTATTCGTCGGACCGGCATCCCGGCCACTCCCCATTACCCAGGCCCCCCAAATTCTACCCCGTCGTGATCCATTTATGGAAGAAATTGCCAACTATTTGCAACAACTCCTCCTCCAGTTCAGACAAACTATGATGCAAGAGCTTCCCAGCATTGTGAAAACCGTTACAACGGACAAGCTAAAGTCAGCCCTTCCCAAAGAAAAGATCCTTCTGGTAAGTAGAGTCAAATAGTAAATTGTAAACACATGCATGAGAAATTTGACTTCAATCAGGTCATCCGAGCCACCGTTCCTGAAATGACACGTAGACTTTTACGACCTATGGTGCTTAATTCGGTGGATAACATGTTGAATGTCATCCTCGGAGATAGAACAATCCCAGAATTGTTCCCAAAAATGGCGAAACAACGTATCGGATGCATGAAGCCTTGCAGATGCCCCAACAACCGTGGTCCGAACGGGCTGCCCCTTCCGAGAGCGAGTGCTTGTGGATTGGACAATCGTATGCGCAAGCAAAAAAAAACTTTCATTCCTGTTCATTTTTTACAAAGTTTTTCTCTTTTAAATGTATTTAGTTGGAAGTGGGAGAAAATGTTCAGAGGAGGAAGACTGTTCAGAATTTGACGATATGCTGAACTCCATCAATTTGGGGTCAAGCAATGGACAATGGTCTACAATGCCGTCTCCCATCCCAAAAGTCTCTCGAGGAACGACACCCAGCCGTCTCTCATAACATAACATGTCAAAAATTGAAGGGTGAAAAATTGTGTCTGGAAAAGTGGTCAGCTTATCGTATTGTTATGCGCCCTAGCGCACCGCAATAATTGAAATTATTGTAAAGAAGTCTACCAATTTGTATAAACTGCGGCAATCTATGTACTTGGAAAAATAAATCCATCCAAAAATTGTGTACAACAAAATTAAATATTTTGCTAACCAGGTATATAGATAATCCCTGCGGGTTTTCATGAACAGATATTATTTGTCAATTGTCATTTAAAAATACCATTATTTTATGATCGTGACCAATTCCGGAAGAGGATACAATGCAAAAATACGTTTCATTGAATATTATTTTATTGCACGCACAAAAAAAATTTGCACTGCACGTAATACTAAACATTGTGAAATAAACTCTTGTATGACCGTCGTAATTCAGTCTTAATTTGTGAAATGAATGTTTCATTTTGCAAAAAATACAGTGTAAATACTTTCTTTGCGTTGGAAAATTAACCATGAAATCTTCCGCTCTGATTCTGTTACCAGTCTTCGTTTTGTTGAGCACAGTAATTTTCACATTGTTAATCAACACTTTAATTCCAATCTCTTAAAAATTTGAATGTGTCTTCCAGACTTCGTGTAATGCAAATACCACAACTACGACTACCACCACGACCACTACTACGACCACGACCACTCCGGGATACACTGCACCTCCCGACCGTCTCGATTTGTGGGACCCTTGTGCAAGAAATGACCACTTGACAGATCTCAACTTTACTTGTTGCGCAGCAAAACGGTATGACGCTCCTTCCATGTATAAGGACCCTGAGAACTGTTTCGGCAAAGTGGGTGCCAAATCGGACTTAATCGTCAAATCTGCCGTATGCAACACAATTTCTAATATATTCTTCACAGGTACATACATAAATAGCAATGATTTACGTATTATTTCTTGTAGTGGAAAGCCTTCAAATGCCTCGTTGACAATAGTTTGGGCAGCAAACCTATAACACCTCTCAATCTGGCAGAGCAACTCATGAAAAATCTGCCCTCCAGTGTCCAGAGTGACATTAAAGAAAAATTGAACAAAATTACGACCGGGGGAGATTCGCCTTTTGCAAGTTAGTCCAGTTTGTATAATTGCAGAGACTTTGACTTGACATCTCAGCAAATTTACAGATATACCGGAACTAAAAGAGTCCTACGAATCCTATTGGACGGCTTGGAATGCATACTACACTGCAGAAAACCAGGTGGATGTGCACATTTCGGAAATATTGAATTAATTTTGGCTCTTGGGTTAACTTAATTTTGCATTATTTACTTCTTCAAGGCGTGCAGTTCAGCAGGGTCGAAAAACCAATCCATCGATCAACCAGAAGTATGTTACGCAGATTAAACCGAACTAAAATTTGGTGTCGTTATCTTAAATATTTTCTTATCTGAAAGGACAACAGTCGCTGTTACGACTGGATTGAACAATCATCTCGACGTGGCGATTGCTGCAAAACAGTGCCAATTCCTTTTCAATTAAACCCTGATCCCATCGTGGATCGGTATTATGCCCTCAAAAATTTTAGTGCGACCCATTTGATGGCACTGGTCGGGAAGGATTTTGATTGGAAGAACACGACCATTGTGATGTACAGTAATAACGTAGCGAACTGTGAGCGAACGGCCAAGTTCATTTTGCAGGGAGTCGTTAAGGAGGAAGATGTCAAGAAACAGGTCGATGCTCGGGTTCCTCCTGATTATCGAAAGATTGCAGAAGCCATCGTTCCAAAATTTATTGATAGAGATGTCAGGGAGCAGATTTTGTTCGATGTGGTTAATGTGACGGCGATAAACGAGGATTCGGATATCCAATCGTACAATGATAGCTCGATGTCATTGTATCAAACCATTTATGCTGATGGTGAGACTGTATTAAATAGTTTCATTTTGAGGATAAAATTATTCATATTTCGATATTTGCATAGAGTGGAAGAGTCGCAAATATAATGAGAATGCGACCCGTTTTCTCTTTTGGACATGTCGTGCCCATAACTTGATCGTGCGGCGGTACAAAGATGCAAATGTTACGGGAGTAAGTGGTGACAGGATAATGGTTATTTAATCAATTTATATCAATGTATAAGTGTCTTTTTGTGTGCATTTCAGTTCTGTTACTAAAATATATGAACGAATTTCACCAGCCGTGAGAAGAACAGTTTTAATTGCTTTACGCAATTTTTTTTGGAAATAGAAGACAAACAAGAAAGAAATTAATAAATAATAGATAATACCAACAATATTTACCTGTAATTTATGGCGTATACTTAACGTATATGGAAATACATAAATTCGAATAAAGTCTCACTTTCATTACAACTTAAGATCAGTTTGTCCATGTAGTCGAATTCCGGAAACGAGCTGTTCGACAAAGCGTTCCATGAAATGGACCGGTTTGTTTCCCGTCCCTTCCAAAAATCCTAGATGACCACCATACTTCGTGCTTACAAGGGCCAGCTTTGACCCTGTAGCTGATGCTTCGTCTGTAGGTAGATCACTTTCCGGGCACATTGGATCGTCCTCAGCATTAAGACAGAAAACCGGAATGGGAAATTTGTGAACGTGACCCTTCGTCGTAGCAGAGGCGTAGTAATCTTCCACGGTCGAAAATCCAAATTGAGGCGCAGTGACAGCCGCGTCAAACTCACGAACGGTTTTAGCCTTCATAACCGCATCCATGTCAAAGGTCTCGGGGGGTTTAACCGTTTTAAGGAATTTTTTGGCAAGATTGACCAGAGATTTTGTCAGTTGCATATTAATTAGGTAGCGATTAATTAAGTTGTTCTCTAAATTGGCAGTTCCTCCATTCGCATCCCAACTTATCGAGATTATTGTAGCAGCTTCAAACATTTCGGCAGCTTCTTTTGGATATGTGACCAAATACTTGCAAAGCACCATCCTGTGACATCAAAAGAACTGCTTGAATCTTCCATGAAATTAAAATTAATATAAATTAACAAACCCTCCCAATGATGTTCCCAACCCCATCATTCTTTGTCCAGGGTACTTTTGTTTCAAATACTGAATCACTTCTACCGCATCTTCTGTACTTGAGGCTGAAAATGTCCTCGGAGTCTACAACAGCAAATTATAATTGTTAGTAATTCATGCATACTTAAAACTATTAATTGGAGAAGTAATCCTCCAACCCACCTTGAACGGTACTCCTCCAAGTCCTCGATTGTTAAATACAACAACCGACACACCAATGTTGTTCAGAGATGTGACCAAAGTTCGTACATAGCAGGATTGAGAAGAACTCGTCAGTCCAGGGAAAAACATAACCAGGAGGGATTTCCTGATGTGAATTAGAATATGCATTGTTTAAAAATTCTTAAAGAGTAACAATTTCAAAATTCTTAATATTTCCTACCCGTCTTTTGGAGTATCGACCATGGCGAAATCCAATCCAACTTCGCCTCCATCACTCAGACTGAATAATTCCCTTTGATACGGAAATCTAGCCGGGGGAACATCTCGATAAACCAAACCAAGCACGGTTTGAAGTCGACCTTCCCAATAAAGTGGGGACGGCGAGAAGTTATCCTTCAACATGGGAACATTCTTGTCCAGAAAGGTCCTCAGCTTTTCATTTCCTGTGTACACGTTAGGCTTCTGAGGAGCAAATGGTCAAATTACACAAGTCATTTATTTAGTCAAGTTATTATTAATAATTTCAGATTATAACTGCCTTGCCTTCTTCACAAATAGTGTGTAATACGCGGAAACAGCAACAATAGCGGATGCTGCCGACCCCAAGATGACCAATAAGCCGCTCATCGTGACGATAGTTCTTTCGGTGGAGATAGAAGAATGGTCAACAAGTTGTCAAAATTTGTGACCACACCAAAAATATTAATACGCTACACAATTGCTGAATAGTTTAACTTCAATTTTTACCAACAAAACCGGCGAATAGCGATATTAGTTAGTTATCGATCTGTGTACGTCCTTTATAGTATGACTTTGCTATACCATATGTATGAAATCGTACAAAAGTGGTACTGGTAATTAATTACTAATTAATTAATACTAATTAACACCTGTCGATATATTTCCCAAGAGATAGATACTGATCATGTGTCATGTTATTGAAGTCGTCACCCAGACTGTTTTATGCCCATGTGATTTTTACACAGCCAAAGTGATACAGGCTTGCATGCATATTGCATAAATATTCAATACGCTATTAGGCATATTGTTTAACGGGTTGCAAAAACGAGATAATATAAATATGTATAAATTGCAATCTGCCGCATGCTATATACAATTACAACACAATGCATGGAAAATTGCACTTTTTATTACATGTTTATTAGTCCTCCTGGGTTTCCCAGACCTAACAAAACCACTTGGATTTTTTATTGGAGAAATATAAATAATTGAAAATTTAATGAGACATAAACATTTATACTGATGATGATTGCCAATAAGATGATCTAAACACAATTTATGGAACATTCGGCATAGTGTAAATTTCTTGAAGTTGTATATTGCATTGCTAATTTTTATATCGGAAGACATGATAAGCACTCAATGTTTAAACTCGTAAGGAAAAATTGTAACAAAATATTTTTTTAGCAGGCAGCGGACTACTTATAAATTTGTACCTTGATGCCACCTATTTGTTTTACACTTTCGCATTGCGAAATTCGCATCAGTTTGTTCATGTACCTGTAGGTAGTCGAAACGAGTAACGTTCCATGAAATGGACCGGTTTGGCTCCAGTCAGTGACTTCCAAAAATCAGAGATGACCATTTTGTACTGATAAGGACCAATCTTATCAGGCATATCGTGAACCATGTTTCCGTTTCAATTTAAATAAATCTCACGCTGCATAGCACATTGCATTGAAAATTGTATTTGTTTCCTTTCATGTTTAACATGAGTTTTCAATAAAAATTCAATTTTCATAAATTTTCGACATCTAACTTCATTTTTAGCCCGAGCCAGGGCTTATGTACCCGTTATGTCTGTCTGTCTGTCCGTCCGTCCGTCTGTCTTCGCGATAACTCTCTTCAAACTCAACCGATCGACTTGAAATTTTTACCACATCTATATCTACCCAAAAGACAAATCAAGTTCGAAGATGAGCCGAATCGGTCAAGTGGTTGGCCGGTGGGGGCCATATGGGTGGTGGGGTTATTATGCATCAAATTTTCAAAATTGTTGTAGAAAGCTGAAATTTGGTAAATATGTAACTAATGGCTTCTAATGAAAAGATATGAAGTGAATTTGCGAAAATTTTTATCTGGAGGGACCCTATGGGGTCACTCAAACTGATTTTTCAAAATCGTCCAATTAAGCTGAAATTTGGTATGGAAGTCGATAGCAGCTTATAATGGGAGTTTATGATGTACAATTTTGAAAATTTTGACCCAGAGGAACCCGGTGGGGTGACCCATACTGATTTTGCAAAATCACTCAATTAAGCTGAATTTTGGCGTAAAGATTGGTAAACAAATTCTAGTTGTACCCACCCTGGCTCGGGCTAAGCAAAGCTGCACTGTAGGTTTTCTAGTTTACACCTCCATTGGGACTATAAATATATCGATGTGTTAGTTTTAGTAATCTAGCTGATTAATTTACACGTAATGACTTAGGATCATCCCATTTTCCAAGAGTCCTTCAATCAAAATCTCAACTTCCAGGAATATGACAATTTTTTCCATAAAATCAAATTCATGCACCATGAAACAAAGCCTCCCTTCTTACTGCTGGACATTAAACTATTCCCATAATTAAAACTTAATTGCCCTTCTCCAGCCAATGCATACTAAACTTGCTGATTCTCCGTAAAGATGATTTATTATTCATGAGCTTCTCTTCTTCAAATATTTATAAAACCTGGGACTAACTCGATCCAAAATATAAACGTTTGTTTAAAACGTGAAATGTCATCGTTTCAATGTCACCTTCCTTTCCGTCCACCAGTTTGCAATTAAGCACCGTAATCAGGAAAATATTATTCATTTCTTAGCACGACAGGCGTTCTTACAAATATCAAATGCCTGCCTAAAATCATAGCTGGAACAAACATAAAATTTTTCTCAACTTTGATACATCGTCGCATGATGAGTAGGTGAATAGACGGAGTTTAATAAATTCGCGTTTTATCTCTAAAATATTGATGCACATTCAATGTAAGTACCATAATTATGCGATTCATTTACTCCAACAAGCATCTAATTCATAATTCGTATGCATGTAAACATAAACCTGACTTGCAATAACGACGGCAAACCTGATCAAAGAGCAGGGAGCGATTAACTATAGACCCAACTTCATTTCATTCACATTCGCAAAATGACTAGACAAGCAAGCACAAAAGCTAAATCGTGAATAGCTACTAACTGCAAGTTGTTGTTGAGACGTGCATAATATAAGCATGATCTCGACTTTGATTATCTTATCGGACCTTGAGCTTCACCTTCTTCTTCTAACCAAACGTTTCATTTTCATGCATGCTTATAGCACATGACGTTCATACATCTATGTGCATATTCAACATGCAATACAAGTTTTGCACATGGCAGAAATCCCGACTTTTTTTATTGCTTAAAAAGTGTGCGAATATATCGTTTCAAACCGGAGTTAGAGTTAGGTGATCTTAACATTGATTTTGGTAAGGTTGTGTGGTAGATATTTAAATATAAGGCTAGGTCCGTATTATGTGTGCAAAGTTCATCTATTTAATTATGGTTATTACCCAATTAAGGTGACCAATTATACATTTTTTTACAACTCACTCAACTAAACGTCTCACAGTCTAGAAGTGTTAAGAAATTACATGGCATGATGTAATCTTTCAGTGCATGCAAGTGTGAATGGCATCTGGTGATTTAATGACGTTGTTTTCTTCCTTTAACGTAGCTGGGTTAGAGAAAAATTGTAATAAAAGAGTTGTGATTTGGCTCCATGCAATCTTGCTGGAGGAGATTTCGCAAGGATTTTTCGCATAACGTCAACGTGTAGTTTGCCTTGCTCAAGTAAACCTTTGTTGTAGTTGTACCTTCACCTTATTATACTTGTATTTTTTTCTATCTCAGCCCATCGTCAGTCAGTATGGTCAAGTCACATCATAAGTTAGCCTATGTGGAATGAAATATTGCTTATTATTACATAAAACTGGACGTCTAGAACGGAAAGGTTGTCATTTTATGGTCATCAATCCTACCAAGCACACAAACTGTCCTGGCCAAATCGATCTAGTTTATTGTCTATCTGAATTTTGACTTGGTGGATATGTAGATTAAGCCAATAGTTTCGCATTAGATAATCAAGCTGCTTGTGGTGACCTTAACACAGTTAATAATTGTGAACATTGACATTGTGTATCGTCGCAAAAGAAGCTACAATGTACTGGTGGGTGCTCTAGATAATAACTGTTTTCTATCCATCCATCCATATTACTTGACGGATGACACCCCACGCTTCTGTTTGCTGGTCACTGCTGCACATTAGATAAGTGACTTTTAGAACACAAGAAGACTTTGACTTTGGAGTTTCCACTTGCCATCATCGATTTCCATTAATTACTCGACTCGTCCTTGATTTGCGTCGACAACAAAACATAACGAACCAACAAAACCCCTACTGAATATTGAATGACAAGTGTTGCTGCTTTTTATTCCGTGACGGGTTTCAGTTTTTGAATTGATTATCATGCAAAACAGTGGTACGTGGTTGTGGTAGTGAAGTTGCCCTATATTGCAAATTTTAGTAGTTCAATTTGGCGAGACCCAGCAAGTTGGACGGCGATTAGAGATAATACTTTGTGGAGAAATTGGTTTTGTTCGCGTGGCATAAGTATTTGCCTTCAGAAAATTGTGGAGTGAGAGTTACGGAGACAATTTATTATGGCGGATCATGAGAAGGGGCCACTTAACGGGACTAATATCCCAGTACAGAAGGTCCCGAAAGGTATGTATGTAATCGGCGTTTATAATAAAATGTGTGTTTGCAGTGTTTGCACATCACTTAAAAAATTGTCATTTTAAAGAGTATGCAAATAGTCAACCTACTTTTGACTTTTGTCAAATGTTTGTCAAGGTAAAACATCCAGTGTGTATAGCTTCGCATAACCCGAGCCAGGTTAAGATTAATTTTTTTTAACAAAAAAATTAATTACCACGGAAGTTGGTCCAGACAGACGGACATGAAAATTCCATAAGGCCCGACTCAAACTAAAAAAATGTATTGTAACAGACTAATTTGCATTACATTGAATTTATTGTCAACTCGATTCCCTGTATGCCATTTAAACTTGAGTATGAGTAGTAACGCAGTTGGTTGGAATATATGAATTTGAATGTGAATACAAAACTTTTGTTTGTTAACGAACTTATTGTTAATATGCCACGACATGGTGATGATGGTTGCTTAATATGGAATGGTGGGTGACATGCATCGCTGTAGTGTTTCGCCATAAGTCTTTACCAATACTAACCCGATACATACATACATGAAGCTATCCAAGAAAATAAATTAACTAGCCAAATATAGGAAACCATATCAAAATAATTACTATTCGGGTCTTATAAGCATAATTCCAATGTTGGTTTAAGTGTCTTTTATCACCTGTTGTGTTTCATCAGATTAGTTTAGTTTACTTTGGTAGGTAGATAGGTAAAGACTCTGTGTAATCGGGTTCCTTGGAACAGAAATGTAGAGAAATTTTCCACCTGAAGGTTATCGAAATTTGTGAAAATATGGAGACCTCCGTGACATTAGCGTATGATAAAAGTATCACGTATTTGGCAAATTTTAATAAAAATGAGACTCCATCCATCTCAAGGAGTGGTAAATATCGTCCCAAATATTTTCATGAGTATGGTTACGAATCGTCACAACCTGGTACTTTTCATATACCTGGACATGTTTTGAAATATTGCGTGCTTTAATTAAAGTTTTCCTCATATAAATTATTTTAATTGCAGCCAGAATATTATTTTCTGCCAGACTGACGCTCGCCCTCCTGTGCATGTTTGCCACATGGAATTTTATGTTCCAAAGACTGACCATAAATTTTGGCCTGGTTTGTATGGTCAAGACTCCAGCGTTGATGGCCGTACCAGATCTCAACTTTACGTTACAAAATAATGATAATAACACATCTTCATTGTTTGGTGAGACAACACTTGGGGGTGACGAGGTTGACATTGTCGACCTTTCGCCAAATATCCACACCGACTCGGATTGTCCAGTCGTAAAGAAGAAGAATGAAACGGGGGAAAATTCGGCTAGATTTGACCTTGTACGACAATGATACGACAGTAATTCTTAATACGAACTTTATTATTGTAAGTTTTGGGTTTTTAGGGTGAATTTGAGTGGTCAAGAGATACATTGGGTTGGATTCTGGCCTCATTCTATTATGGTTTTGTGATATCACAGGTACATATTACGGAAAATTGTATATAGAAACAATTTTTTCAAGTTTTCGTAATTTTACTTATGTGCATAGATCCCTGGAGGATGGTGTGCGGATCGGTTTGGTTCGAAAGGGGCATTAATTTGGAGTGGTGGCTTGCTCAGTGTAAGCCATTAAATAATGGGTGTGGCATTACAATTAGCTTAATGATGCTAATTATTTCTACTAGGTCTTGACAATGCTGATACCACCGGCATCTTACCTAGGCCCAGAGTATCTTGTTGGACTTCGATTCATCAGTGGCATTGCAAATGTATGGAAATATAAAGAACAATTGATTAATCGATTCAAGTCGATGGGCTAATAACACTCTTTTTCTTAGGGAGCATCAATGCCAGCGATAAGCAGCTTATCATCCCGTTGGTTTGCGGATGTTGAACGAGGTTTCATGTTGGGGATCGCTTATGCAGGATTCGGTACAGCAACGGCTATGGCGTACCCTATCTCAGCTTTCTTCTGCGAATATGCTGGATGGCCACAGTTGTTCTACTTTGCCGGCAGCATTGGTCTTTTCTGGTGTGTCCTGACCTACTTCTTGGTATTCGAATGGCCGGAAGATCACCCTCGCATATCACCCAAAGAAGTCCAGTACATTCAGAAGCATCGCGCCGTTCAGTACGGAGGACCAACGAGACAAGTAAAATTTGCGAAAACCTAATTATCTACATGCATAATTTCTAAAATTGTAATTATTAATTATTATTTTCTGCCTTCAGAAAGTGAAAGTTCCCTGGGTTCCCATGCTCCTCTCGATGCCGGTATGGTCTCTCCTAGGTAAGTGTCTTTCTTATCTTAGAAATTCTTTCTTATCTTAGAAATCATCACTCATCACTGATGGGATTTTGAGTCTTGCTTCATCTTGTTATTTTTCTCCTAGTTGCGAATTTTTGCTGCTTTTGGATCTTTCTCACAATCAGCATGTACTTACCCACGTATCTCAAAGAGGTTTTACACCTCGATATCGGAGAGGTATAAAAAAATTTCACTCCCAAAATATCAGAAACATTTTGTGACCAATCCATATTATAGCGTTTCTATATTTTATAGAACGGCTTGCTGTCCGCTGTACCTTTCGTCGCTATGATGTCATTCCATTTCGTCGTGGCCCTAGTATTCGACAGACTTCGCAAGCGTGGGCTTTGCAGTGTGACTCGACTTCGCAAGTCATTCAATACTTTGGGTAATTATTACAAATTAAGTATTTCCTAATTTGATGTCAATTTCTTTATTGACTCACTTGTCAAATTTTTCCAGGTGCTATTGGTGCAGCTGGTGCCACCATCCTTGTCGGCATCCTGGCCTGCGACAACATAATGGGGGCCATATTTTTGATAACTTGCAGCCAAGTATTCATCGAATTTTCCTTCATGGGGGGCTACATCTTCTCAATTTTTGAGCTCGCCCCAAAATTCGCGAGTTCTTTAACCGCAATGATGAACACCTTTGGTCTCATCGTCGGCCTGCTGGCACCCCCACTCGTCTCCTACCTCACCCCGAATGGGACAAGGGAAGAGTGGCTGCTGGTCTTCAACCTCTCCGCCGCCATTTGCGCCTTCGGAGGCGTTTTCTACCTACTCTTCGGCTCCTCGGAACTTCAACCGTGGGCGTCGGATGGGGGGAAAGGATCTCCAAATGGGGGAAATCCTGCCCTAAATTTTAACGGTGCTAATGGAGATAAGGAGATGAAAGTGTTACAAATTAGGTTAATTAGCGGGGAGAGTAACATTAATGGAGAAATTGTTAAGAATTGATTGTACTTAAAAACCGAAGTAATTACTTACATATATAATGATTTGTTATTGATTGAGGGGGTTGTTAATGATGTGGTGTTGTTATTAAATGTGATGCTAGTTTAAAGCTTTAATTGTTGTATTAATTTAATTGTGAAAATAAAAGAAACTTGTTTTTCATGAAAAAGTTGCATTTTGTTGATGTTTTGTCATTGTTCAACTCGGGAAATAGCGGGAGGAGAGGTGGTTGACGGAATTTCATGAAAACTTTCACCTGTGAAAGTTAAATTGTGACAAATTGTGAGTTTATTTTGAACAAGTATTGAAATTGCATATAAATAATTAAGTAATTATGCCACCGTCTCAAGTATCTTCCTGTACAATTTGTTCGATTGACCTGTCAAATCTTGGTTATCATCATCGTCCACCGGAACTTAACCTCAAATTAGGGGAATCTATAAATTACGACACTTCTGGTTCAAAACGCTTATCGAAAGATGTTGACGTTTATTTCATCCTCCGAAACTTGCTCCGACTTCCATCCACCCTGATGGAAGATTTGTTGGGTAATTATAACTCTTAATTATAAATTATTTCCAACTGTCTTGATTGAAAAATTGAAACATTTCTTTACTGATTTTCTTTTCAAATTTTTATTAGCGTCCAGTGAGGGGAGATGTATGGCAGAGTGGGGGCTGGTTTTTTGTATCGTTTGTCGCAGGATGGTGGAGGAAGCCGGATTCATTTTTGACAGAATTACAAAGTTAAAACAAGATTACGAAGAGGTGAGAAAGAAGATAAGAGCAAGGATTCTTGTTAAAGAAGATGGAATATTGGCGACGACTAGTAATATGAGGAGACGAGGGCGACGAGGGAAGGATCGACATGGAAGCAGTAGTTCAGTTGTGGAAAAGATAAGAGAATATTTTTGTAAAGGTGAAAACAGTGATAAACTGAACTAATTAATGTGTCAACATGTTTACAATAATAGCTTCAATATTTTCTAGCTCAGGATACCAGAATTAATGAAACTGAATTGAAAGAAAAAGAGAAATCGATCTTGATGAACCACCCTCGATTAATTCTCCCAAATTTCGAAGATCCAGTAAAAGTGGAACCCGTTATTGATGATGCATCTTTTTGTGATGACTTTTTCATACCTGACGATGCCCAGTTTGCAGAAGAGTTTGTCCCATGTATACAGGAAAAAAGCCCAGGAAATCACGATGAAAGCGTGAAAATACAGGAAGATGCTTCAAGGAGATCTCTGCGACCAAGACAAGCTCGTAAAATTGAAAACGACAACTCCGAGAGTGACGAAGATGGCGATGATTCACATTCTGACGAATCAGGCGACTTTGAGAATAATTCTGAAGAAGAGGATGACCAGGAAGACGATGAGAGCTCTCATGAGACGGGTGAAAGTCAGCGTATTCAAACTTCAAGGACTAAAGCCATACGAATGGAAGTCAAACATCGCGAATATAATTCCACCAGCAGAAGGCCACCCAATTACACGCGCACAGATATCGACAACAAGATAAACTTGCAGAAGTGTCAGTATTGTAATTTCTCAAGTAAAAATGGATATGCTTTGGATGCACATATTTTGAATGTACATCAAGGTGGGTATATAATTTAAAACCATATATGAATCTAAGTCAGGCAATATAATTTAATACACTTTCAGGAGTTGAGCGTCCCTTTCCTTGTGATCTATGTGAAATAACTTGTAATAGGTTCGGAGCCATTATGCTTCACATAGACATTCGACACCATTCGCAAATATTTAACGCAGAAGAACCAGTACCAGCCCCTGGTGCCGAAATTGATCCATCAAATTCTGATGTGTTCAACGCTATTGTTGAAGTGAAGGAAATCGAAGTTGGAAACGAGTGTGACAATGTCGACACAAACTTGGATGTGAAGCATGGACCGCTTCAGAACGCTTTTGAACCTCTTCAGGAAGCTAAAGAAAAGTGTAAAAGAAAATCTAGAACATTCAATCCTGAAGGACGTCCCTTCAAGTGTGATAAATGTCCACATCGCTACTCAGATATGTGGCTTTTGAATGCCCACATTTTACGAAGTCATCACGGTATTAAGTTAATACTATTAACCTTACTTATTTAATTGAAGAACTTATTAAACGGTCTTTGCTTGGTTATTACTTTCATTCAGGGGACAAGCAATCCTATGAGTGTGACCAGTGCGAGAGGCGATTTTCGCGTCAACAAGTCCTTTTTGAGCATAGGGCGGACCAGCATCCCACAATACTAACCCCGTATGAAGGTCCACCAGCAACATCGTTTGAGAGAAGAATTGCTGAGCTAGCCAGTATCGAGAAGCCTGGGATTATTGACATTCCAATTTCCACGAATAAGAAGATTTATACCTGCACAAAGTGTGACGTAGATTTTCAGAGTCGGATTAGTTGTGAAGTACACTTGCGAAGGGCCCATTATGGTATGACATATTTTGTAAAGCTATCATGTAGTAAGTAGGCTTATCGCCATCGCTTAATTTTTGATATTTTTCTTAATCAGGACCCGACTCTAAGATCAAGTGCTCTGAATGTGACAGTTATTTTTTAACCTCGACCGGAAAAAACAACCATTTCAAAAACGTTCATATCTATAAGCGTGATCCAACAGCTAGAGAAGTGTTGTCCTGCTCCAAATGTCCAGAAAAATTCAAACTTCAACGTGACTTGAGGAAACATTTAAGAACGCACAGAATAAAGGAACATATGTGTGAATTGTGCCCCCAAACGTTCACGGAAAAGATAAACCTCACTCATCACCAACGTCGCGTCCACCATGAAGAACTTGGCTTGAGTCCGTGGAAGTGTGAACTATGTCATAAGAACTTAAATTCAAAGCGGAACCTCGACCTTCATATGATCACACACACTGGAGAATTTCCCTTTCAGTGTGACAAATGTCCTCGTAGGTTCGTCTTAGAATCACAAGTCCTGAGGCACATTGCCACAGCCCACAATAATGAGAAGCCGTTTAAGTGCTCTTATTGTGAGAAGAAATTTGCAACTAAGTTTAACTTAACCAATCACAATCGTGTTCACACCGGCGAGAAGCCATTCAAGTGTCGATTTTGCTTGAAGGATTACTCGGACGGACCAACGTACCGTCGACATCTCGAGACTCATGGGACAAAGGTCCATACTTGCCCGACTTGCCAAAAAGAGTTTAAAGTGTGGCACTCCTTTCGGCTGCATTGCTTGAAACATGATGGGAAAGGAGTAGTCAGGAGAAAAAATACCACAACGACGATTCAGAGAAAGAAACAACGTGTTAATTATGAGAAAGAAGATTCTGCAATGTCAACTTCTGAAAGTGAAGATGAAGAACAAGACCCCAACCCCCTTCCAGAGATAAATGACAATCCAGCACAAAATTGACAGGCTTTGATGCACCTTTACGAGCTATAGCTGTTCATGTAAAAAAGCATTATACTAGAGAAATCATGATAAGATGTTAGTCTGAAAGTCATGAAGTTAAATGTAAAAGTTTGAAAAGTCCAAAAACCGATAGGTCTGATTTTATGATTCATAGAAATAGTTTATGTTATCTCCAAGCCTGGACCGTTTATCTTGGTAAAGTTTCAGTGCATTCTTCCCTCTAAAATCTAGCTTTTATGAACACGCAATCGGCTCATTAACATTCATATAATGTTGCAGTTGATTAATAATACCTTGATTGTATAGGTGCCATAAAAGTACGTACGTATTCATCAATGGTCACCCTAGTCAAGAGTTGCACACAAATGTTATGCCGAATTATAAGTGCTCAGTTCCTTAAGTTCCCTCAATTTGAAATTCGTAACACAAATTTGTCGTCAATTTCGTACCTGTTCAACATTAAAATTAAAATTGCCTTTTTGAATAGAATGACTTCAGAATTAAAACTTAGTACCGGCGTTGTAAATACATCACTTTCTTCGTCCCACACATTATTGAAAATATGCCAAGTTAAGTCACGATGATTAATTTTATTTCGACACATGTAAGCTACTCTTCGTTTAATATCCACTGTTCCTTCACCTGGCTCGATCTGTCCCTCTTTAGTAAACTCATAACATTTCATTTTTCTTCATTACTTGTAGTACAGCGTTTACAGAACATCGTGAATACAACGTGGTTAACCGCACTTGTACTTTCCATTAACTTGAAATGTATGTACAAATACAACTCAGGCCATTCCACTCCATACGACTACTAACGACCATGATTCATTGCTGCACACCTTATCTCATGTTATCATAGTTTTTTTCCGACTTGATAAGAATATTCAGCGTCGGATTGAGAATCTTTGTTTAGAACTTGTGATCATAATTTTTTTACAAGTTTCCCCTTCCTTCCACCCAACCAATATTTATGGAAAGATTCATTACACGTCTAATTACTATTTCCCCCAATTTTTCATACTTAATGATGCACAACTTTTTAGTTGAATCCGTTTCTAAATAATTTATCATTTCGTCCTCATGTCTGTCGGCCTCCGCTTTTCATTTATGTTTTTTTCTTTATTGTGGCGTCTATTTATTTTTTATTGTGCTTCTTGAACATCTGCTACATCGCTAAATCTCTTTCTCGATGTCATGCCGTCTGTTTAGAAAAGTCCACCGATTTCAATTCAATTCCATTTCTTTCTTTCTAAAAAAAAGTAAATCTGCGTGGAAATCTCTCCCTAAATGAAAAATGGCACTTCACTCATGAGTAAATAGCTGTCTGTTGAGCAAAGTTTTATTCTGCCAAAGTGATAAATGGTGTTGGTTTTGGTGGATGGAGGACTTGCTTTTGGGGTGCAAGTTAAGTTTACTACTCGAAATGAAGAATCGCAGAATCTCTCATCCACTCTGATTTCGTGGTTTCTTTAAATGGAAAAAGTTTACTAATTAAGGCAACTTTCTCTCCTCTTTGGGTATCTTCTTGTACGATAGTCACTTGTTCGGTGGGAGTGGTACTGGTGGTGGAGTGGAGGTAGGGATGGAATGTGCAAATAGAAACGATAAAGTGGATTGGATGGACAAGAAATGAGTAACATTTGCATCTTAAAAGTAACGAAATGGAGAAGAAAAAACTTTTATTATTACTGCTACAGTTTCCTATTCCGATTTGGAATGAAACAAAAAGGAGGTAAATGTGTAGAAAAGAGGTGGAATAAACGTTATTATTATTTTTACTAAAATGGTCGGAAATGGGATTCAAAGTTATTATGAAATGGAGAAAAGATGCCAAGAAAAGAAGGTAGCTTTTAAGTACAACTTATGAAATGTATCTGGCTTTTGTCCAGGTCGTAATATGTAAAAGTGTATATGACAAACTTGGCATGAAAGTTTTTAGAATTTTGGAAATTTGTATTTTTATTTAAAATTTAAATTAAAGTAAAGTAAAAGTGTTGAAATTAGATTGCAAGCACGTGTACATATGTATTTAAGAAAGCAAATACGGACTCGTATAATTTTTCATGACAATTTCCAAGAAAAACAAAATTTTTTCAGAAACAGATAGCATTACCTTTAATCGACAAACTTTTTTCCTATTTAATAAAATATGAAAATATTAAGACACAATAAAACCCAACTAGGTCAAAAGTCATAATCGGTCAAGTTACTCCCACCACACAAAAAACTTTCATTCGTATGAATTCTGCATCACAAAACAGTTGCAGGCAGGCAACAAGGTGTCCCTCGTGTTCGCCTACTTTCACTTTTACTTTCACCCTGAAAACTTTTCCATCCATTCTCAAACCAACAAAAGTTGAGCAGTAATAGTTTTGTCCGACTGTTTTCACTCACAAGTCCTGCCGTCTTGGCTTAGAGGCTTGACCATCAGTGTCATGACTCAAAAAGCCGAGAGTTCGATTCCTCTTGAGTTGTATTATGCAGCAAAAAGTGTGGAACGAACTGGTATGGAAATACAAATTACTGTTCGGTGCCGGCAGATAATCTGCATAGGATTGTCTGGCCAAATCCTAAGATAGTTTGAATATCTCCTTATTTACATCCTATCCTGTTTCACCGTCCACCCCAATTTTCAATTTCAATAATTACTCCCTTTCCTCTACAGTACCTATCCTAGTAAACCTGACATGCCAGCCCTAACTATACCTTTCCTTGTAGTTGTTGATGTCAGTATCTATCCCTGTCTTGGTATTGGAAACGATGTGGCTCACATATCATATACCCCAGACGTAAAAGATTGAACAGAACAGAGTCAAAAGCTTAACGATGCAGTTGGGAGCGTAATAATTCCAACCAACTTTGCAATTAGTGGAGACAGATGGGACAACATTTATGCAAAATTTCGAAAACTGACTTAATACACAATTTCCTTTGAGACTAAATAAACACCGATATAGGTTTTGGTATTACGTAAGCAGTGAGATGAGATTACTAATCCTACTGCTGCGATGTCTCGAATTCCTATTAAACTGTGACCATGAAGAAATCGAATTAATTTTGACATTTTACCAAAATCATCCTCTCCACCATGGCATGAAAGAGATGATAAGATTCCGTGGCTTCTGTCTAGTTTGGTTGAATGAATGGGTTATTAGTTAAGCGAAAATGCGCCTTGTATTTCAGCCCAAATTAAATTGCTTCTTTGATTTCTACCCGAATTTCCACCACGGGGACATTCCTATCCGATTGACTTGGCTCTTCGCAACCTATTTGCATCCAACTCCAAGGTTAGTTAGAGACCGAGCAGTTGATCGACAATGCAAATCCAAAATAATGTAACTCAAATTCCACCATTATTAATGGCATGTTGTTTTCTTGTGTATGCATGTAGCTTTTGTATTAAACCCCGTGTTGCAAGGATAAATTGATGCTGTCATTCATTCATCAGCTTCGTCTTCTTCGCTTCGTAAACCCAATCCATTTCCTTTCTAAAGCTCAGGACAAGATTCATCGTCGTTTCGGTGTTCAGTTCAGCATAGGGTTTCGGATTTGGGATGAATGGACGATGTGGTCTAGTTACATCACGACCACGGTAAATAAATGGCTCAACTTTCTCCTCCTTTCACCAGACTGGAACCGTACGGGAGGAATGAGGTGGCCGTGTTTCAGAGTGATGGGAAACTATTTATTAATAATTCAGTCATTTTCTAAAAGGCGATGAGCTCGTAACACTGCAAAACCTTGGATCCCATGACTAACAGAATCCTCTCAATATATAAAATTAATCCTGATTCACTTTCCTTTAGTAAAAATAGATTCTGAAACAATGTCGGAAAGAACAAAAGGTTTTTGAAACGTGGAGAATAATGATTGATATCTTTCTCTTCACGTTTTGCTATAAATAGACTCGAAACCTACGTAGCAAAACTTAGGGTGAAAGCTGTGCACTTTAAAACATCGGTTGGCTCATCTCCCCTCTGGATATTTATCATTTAACAATATGCTTCACTCCACTCGAAGTGAAATTCATACAGGAAACTGAACAGAAGGGGCAGTTCTCTCAGGGAATGAATGATGAAATAATAAACAAATGTGTCTAGACGTAGATGTCCAACTTTCACCATGCACATTGATCCGTACCCTTTGTTTATTCATTACTTATCTATACACAAACATAGGTGGTCGTTTGATGGTGGCTGATGGATTTAGGGGGCAATTTTATGTTTAATTTCCGCGATTTAAACCCCTGCCTTGATTGAAACGTTCGATTCGTGGCGTGGCGTGGCATAATCTCCCATGATTCGTTTTGTACATACACATATGTAAATCATTTCATGGAAAGAACAATAATAATAAATGGCGGAATATGGTATATACAAATTCGAATTGTTTGTTTAAATAACGAGTAAATTTTGATTGGATTTGTGTGACTACGCAAAACCTTTGGGATCAGGGAGGGATCACGAATGAATGACATGACATGACACTCATGGCAGGTTCCCATACACATATCACAAGGCTGCACGTGGACAGAATGTGGGATTGGTGAGAATTCAAACAAATGTAAATTTCACAAATACCTACTTATTCATCAAGTTTACGTACGTTTCACTCCTACATATTTTCCATTCAATTCGTGATTTGGGTTGAATTTTGTAGCGATTTGATGGTTTCAATCATGTCGGGTTTCTCAGATAATGTCATCGTGGTGAAAGTAAGTAAAACAGGAATTGAACAGGATTGTTATCTCTCGTCGGATGTGGTGTGTGGGTGTCGAATATAAGTAAATGACGGTTCGAATGCGGATTTATATGTAAGTATTTTCAAATAATGGAATTTGATCTCACGTGGATTTGTTCCTGAATCATTTTGAAGCTTATGATTTGTGAAGAGAGCGAATTCCAGGGATTTTGATCATGCAGTAGTCATCATGTTTTACAATAATGAATATGTCGCCCCTTCTCGATTTTGTGTGAAAAGGTTTAAATTGTAAAGTGCTATTGTATTTATCTAACTTACAACAGCACTTTACAATTTGTTCATGATGATGATTTTGTTTGACGGTGGAAAGATAAGCCAGCAATATGGGGGGTTTTATTTCGGATAAATTCACAGCAAATATTTGACTTACAAATCTTACTTACTTTGGTTACAGAGGATTTGCGATTTATTCGGAATTTTGAAGACGCTTTGAATTAGTGTGAATATGTACATCTGTATTTGACAGTTGTGGCAATTTGGACAAGTCTAACTAACAATCCATAGACAGCAGATTCAATTGAATTACACATTACTAATTAATGCATTATTAGTTAACTTACAAATTCGCAAATTGTAATTGGCAAACTCAATTACCCGAGCTAAAAATTGAACCAGATCCTCATCTAACAGTAGTATTTTAATATCGAATAACGAAAATATAAAAATTATGTTTTCGGCCATGAAATACAACAGTAAGATTTTATTTCTCGTACTTCACCTCAATAAATGTATATATACATCTGAAAAGGTCATATGTCAACCTCGACAAATGGTCATTACCCACAGGGTCAATCCATTATCACATTGGATGACAAAACGCCCCAGATTCCATCCACCACCTCACTCACTCTGCTAACCTAACCTTTCAAGTTTCCCTTCCCATCATCCCATTGCCATTAATTAATCAAGTGTCGTCGTTTCGAGAGGAAAAAAGTCATTTGTGGTGTGTCTTGTCTCCTCTTCATCCTTTCTCCCCGGTGGCCATCACCACAACTTTCACCACCAACTTTTAGTGACCTTTGTCCTATCACTTTCTCCGGCCAAAGGGGGTGATTAGTCTTTCTTTTCGCCTCTTATCATGTCATCAATTCCATAACTTGGTTGGTCTCGTCCCCAATAAAAATGTGTCGCCTCTCGCCACACCCGTTTCTCGTACTTATTGTTAGTCCGTCATGACGTCCGATATATTGCTGCAACCTCTTGAGATCAAACTACTTATACCAGTTTACCATTATTCTTTAAATAATTGGCCCTTACACAACCACCGGCACCGCACATGTTGACAGATAAAGGTTCACATGACAGGATTATCGGTAAGGAAGGGGAAGGATCACTTCATTAAAACTTTTCCAATTTCGTCGGCAGATATCACACACAATACAAGAAGAAGAAAAAGAACAGGACAGAACAGAACAATGGTACTTGACCTACTTGGTTTAATCTCTTCCCAATCATGAAGCATAATAAGAAACTAATTTTCTTTCGTGTATACCGCTGGGAAATTCGTAGCGTGATCCGGATTGGAATAACAATGGGAAAAATGACGGTGATGCGGGTACAAATAGGAAAAAATAGATCAAAATGAGGCGAAGATCGGTTCTTGTCTTGTGCCTCCGTCACACTGTGACGATAAAAAATGAATAAGTTGACATTTTTAAACCAGTAGTAGTACGGAAATCCAACCGCAGGAAAAGTATGCAAGATGACGATTTCTTCTCTCCTTCACTCGGCTTTTGCTCTCTCTCTCATGGAGGTGGAAGGTGGAAGGAATGCTTAAAAGAGGTGGAAGGAATGCTTAAAAGCTTTTTGATTTCACGCATTTGTGCACATTTTTTTAGGTTTGGGAAGAATTTGGGCACTTGACTTGTCGCCTCATCCCGAGGCATGACGCATGGGAGGAAGAAAGACCAGGAAGGCGATGATATACTTACAAAGTCGCTACTATGTTATATAGTGTGAGACGAGTAGTTAATGGGACATTAGGCGAGATATTAGTCGGCTTGTGTAAAAAGAGCAGGATTTAAATATGTTCAAAAATTCGGTAAAAAAAACGTGTATCTACACAGATAAGCCGTTTTGCTCGTCAGCTAGTAGGTTCTCGTTAATCTAGCAGCTCGTTCGTGTAGACCACAGTGAGTAGCACGTGGAAAATGGACGTTGGAACTACTATATAAGAGGATAGATGTGACGTTGGAAGTACTAAATCATCACAAATTGGACCATTTATTCCGTCTCATTTCCACC